TAGATGCAAGTTATATAAAATACAGACAGCATTTTGTGGTTTAGGTTCCCAGCCTTTTGTCTTGGCACCCCTTTCAAGAAAGCAGTGTCTCGTTGTGGCCTCTGTCATTTTTCAGATGACTTTGAACTGTGAGCAGTACAAACAAAGGGAGACTTTCCTGCAAAACTTTCCCCATGGTTTCATGTAAATGACTGATGAGGCACCAAAGATAAACTATTTCAGTATTTCACAGAGAAAATAACTATAGGTTTTGGTATCAGGACCCTTTTATTGTTCTTTCCTCTCCCATTAATCATCTGACAAGAATTATTTTATGACCTCTGTCTTTTTCATAGAAGACATTTTGTTGTGTCACACTAGGAAAAGCACATTTGTTAATAACATTAAGGAGGTTTCCGAGTCCTTGTGGTGTGCATGCTTGCTCAATATCATAGGACACATAACTTGTCGATGAATCCATATTAACAATGTTCTAATAATGATATGCAAGTCAAGGGCAGTTTGCTGTTATATTGTGCATTTGTAGTAGTAGGACTTAAATGCTGTAGTATTACTTAAAGTAAGAGTATTTGACTTCTTTGTTGTTGGAGTTTATGATCTGAGTACTTTTTCCACCATGGCTGGTTGACCTGAAAAGCCCTTGCACGAGGCATATTAAATGAGAAGGCTTTGATAGAGGTCTTATCTAAACTGAATCAGGGTGTGAACAATCCTGGTGTTTAATTTTTGGCAGAAGGATAGCCCGCCTTCTGCAAGGTCTCAGATTGCATCCAAAGTCCATCTAAAGGTGCATCTAAAGGTGCTGTAGAAACTGCTGTCCAGCAGATGGCGCTTTGTCCAACCTCCTCTCATCAGTTATTGTAGTCAAATGTATTTGATTTTACTTCAAATTGTGTTATCAATGATTTCTGTATATATCTTTGTTGAAAATGTCCTGCTTCAACTGCAGAGAGGTCAGTAAAAGTCCTGCATTTGAAAGCTGAAAACTTTAAAGTACACAACTATTTCAAGCTGAATTGCACTTTATCAAAAAGTAAGGGTTATGATTTATCTTTGTACTTTACACATGTGATTATAGTTTTTACACATAAGTTATTGTTGAATGTAGCAGGATAAAATAATATGATGTCAGGAGCCTTGCTGTTAGTTTATTCTAGAACAGTTACAACTTTATCATTCTCATACTTTTAGAAAGAAGAATTTTCCCTTTTAGAAATATTAAAGTAACTTCTTCCTCTCCTTCTACTTATTTTTCTTCTTTTTATTAGTAGTAGTAGTAGTAGTAGTAGTAGTAGTAGTAGTAGAATACTAATAGTACTACACTCCTTGCAGAGAAGGTATAATCACATACAACTGAACACATGTGAGGTTATGTAGTGTGTACGTTCACAATTTGTTGAAGCTTGTTTTTGGACTCAGTTTTCCCTCTCTTTTGATGGAAAATACATTTTCAGCATGGGGTGTTCTGCTTTATATCGGCAGTGTTTATACATCTTTTATTGAGATAATTTCATAATGACTTAACTTATAGAAGGAACATTGTAATTTCTTCTTTCTTTCAGATGTAATTCATTGGTCAAGTCAATGTTGCAATAACATTCATGCCCACTTTTCTTCTTACTTCAGTCCAAGATTAGTTGTTGCCAGTGTGTTTCAGTGCTCAATAATACACCAGACACGGTCTTAGCTACTGAGGCTTTGCTCTCATTTTGTTCTGATCAGTTGTATTATTGTTTAGGAAAATAGGAGGACATTGAAACTTGTACATGGTCACACTGTATGACAGATTCAAACTCAAAGTAGGAATTGTTTACAGACTTTTCAGAGGGGTTTTTAGGGGTTGGAGATTTGACCTCATGACCTCAGGATTTAAACATCGCAGACTCTTTTCCTGCAATTAAATGGGGCAGAAATTCGGCCACATTTAATTCCTATATTCTGCGGCAGAATATAGCAATTCCCATCTTTAACCTATCACTTGTTTACATGATGATTGAGAGCAATATCCAACACTAATAACAACAATAATTAAGGTGAGCATTTAAAAACATTTTCAAATGTTGTGTCAACCAATTATGTAGGCTACATATACCAAATAATAACTGATAAAATAACTGGATACATTATTAGTAGTACGTTCATGATGTCAGAAATGTGTTGAGTTAAAGGTTGTTTTGGTGGCAGTTGGAAACAGGGGCTTTATGTATCAGTTGAAATGTCCTCCAGGGACTCAATGTCAGAGACAATACAGTGCTATGGCTCTCAGTGCACGGAGCTCCAGCTGCTGTCCGGTGCATGCCGTTGAACCAGGGCTGCTGTCCTCCAATAGATTTAAAGTGTGCGCCTGTCCGACAATAGAGGGCCGGGAGTGGGAGGATCAGCTCGGCAGCGATCCTTCTGGCTTTGTTACGCCAGGGAAGCCATTTTGGAAATCTGCTTGTTGTGCACTAGCATAACATTCTCAAGCTACTAGCAAACTTTTGCGTTTTTTTACCACAAAAATAACGTTAAGGATCTGTGTGCCGCAGTCATTTATAGCCTTAACCTTTGGGTGAGCGTGTCGGGATGCGGGCAGAAGTTTGCGCATCCTCCGCGATAGTACTGCGTGGATCATTTCCCTTTGGATTACGCTTTTAAATAAAAAGATACATGGACTCTAACCAGGCGGGCAAGTTGACATGCTACTATAAAAACATCCTATAGGTTAACGTTTCAACAATTGATGTTGTGAATGTGTCATTTCGTTTTATGCATATTTGTCTGTCTTTGCTGAGCTCCTTTACCCAACTAACGCAATCTCAGGCCTTATTTTCATGGCTAATTTTAGAAATCTGCGACATTACCTGACATTATGTGTTATCCTTCATTGTAATAATGCGTGGTTTTACGGAGAAATTGTAGAATAACCTGTATGATAAGATATGAGTAACCCAGTGCTTTCGAGAGTGACGGCGTTGTCTAAATACACTGCTTCTAAATTTAGCACTGGGCAATGAGAATGTAACGGCTTATATGTCATTTTGCTGGACCCTATGTCCAGTTATTAATAGACCGAATGTCTTTCAACGACACCGGTCTGCAGCACTGTTTTGACAGAAGCTGCACTAGTCACAATACTGTAGTTTGCCCTCTTTGTCGCAGGTGTTTTGCGTAAAGGAGCCAGCAAAACAAACGTGTGATGATACATTGTGTGTGGGAAAAGTGTCACTGTGTAGCATGTTTAGACTGGAGTGTGTTTGTGGGATAAACGCATGCTGCTTGTTGAACCTGTCTCCTGAATTATGAGCTCAAGGATTACATTATCTAATAGTTCTAATAGGAATCAGTCATATGCTGAAACAAAAACAAAACCCTCTTTATTAAGAACTCCAGCCTTACACCATACTCTCCCCTACTCTCAGTTCTGTAGATATAACACAGTTAGTAAATGTATTATAAGACTGTGGTTTTTAGTTAGCCCACATTCAGTGCTGGCATCATGATTCATTCCCCCAGTGCAGTCACAATAAACTAATCCTGGCTGAATTAAAGTGGCTTTTCGGATATTTCTGTTACCGTTTATCCGTCTTTTTGGCTTGGTGACTTGGAAGTGGATTTGACCCATGATTTAAGATTGTGTGTTGAGATTTTGGTTTCGGATTTTCGGAAAAAGCCATCTGTTTTATTTGCTGCTCCGTTTTTGCATTACCAGAAGTTTAAGTAAGAGTTAAACTTGCACAGTTATTGTACTTATTGTATGTAATGTGGAGCAATATTAGGGTAAACTCGGCAAGTCTAAACAAAGTGTTCCCCTTTCTGACAACCTCAAGTGTACTGCAATATTCTGTCCAACTCTATACCCCTAGTTACAAGTTTATTAGGTACACCAGTCAAAACTAATGCAGTCCAACACAAGAGTTCATCATGAGTAATATTGTATTCTGTTTTAGTTTAAATTATTTTAGAGAGCTGTTTATTCATAGTATTTTTTTTTATTGCATTAAACTGCTGCCTATCTTGGCCAGGACTCTTTTGCAAAACAGATTTGTTATCTCATTGAGACTTTCCTAAATAAAGGTAAAGAAAAAAAGAAAATACATAGAGGTGTTTCTCACATTTAGCCCAGTGTTCCCCAAACATTTTGGAATAAAACACGTTTATTTAAGCATAAATTGAGGCTCGCTGTCCCATTACTGTCTGAGATCAGTATTTGCATTTTCTCTCAAGATATCTTTCCACACTTGAGCTTCTTCTCACTTGGGTTTTGTTTAAATAAGTTCACTTAAAGACAAGTTGACCCACATTTGTGTATCAGAAGAACTTTGAAATGCCAGCCTAAAATATGTACACAAATCAGCCCCTCATTATAACAGTAACAACACAATCTATATAACTCATAATGTTAAGGAAAGTAGGATTAATTACAGGATTGGTTGTTTCAGACTCGATTAGTCTCTGCTGTACCTAATGAACTAGCAGCCGAGTGTATTATAGTAACGGTATTTGCACAGCTTGTTCACATAGTACAAGTTTCCCTATTGGAAGCTCGACCTTCAGAGCAGTCGTTTCCCGCCCATTGCCTAAAACTCTGCCCCACCCCTTGCTGTTTCACTTGGTTTCATAATACTGCTCTCTCTGTGTGCGGAGCTTCCAAGCAGTCACTAGGAGTAGCTGTCCTGGTGAGGAGTCTTTTGATTACAACAGGAGTGAGGATCGTCATTCTCTGTCCTGTCACTACCAGCCATTTCCGTCTGTTGCCGACCGGAGGAGAAGAGACAAGTCATTCATTACAGCTCCGTCAACAAGAAGCCACAGCCAACATGCAGGAAGAGGTCGGCCAACTCTAGTCCACTTTCAATACCACAGTTGTGTTGTTGTGTTCCCGAGGAAGAGGAATGTCCAGCAGCTCTCATTAGGGCCGGCTGTGCTTTCTGACGGTTGTAGAGTGTAGCAGTAACCGGTTGTTGTCTTTTCTTTGAAGGCCGCCCAGTGAGTAGCGCTAGAATTGATTTGGGAAGAGGTGGGGAATTTACCAGTGCTGTATTGTTTTCAGCGTGAAATGCAGTTCCTAATCTGTTTTAAAAAATACATTTACAGTGGGAGAACTTGAGCTCATTAGCACAACTAATTTTACAAGAGACAGGTTTAACAAGGCAATGCATGTGTTTTCGTGAGTGTGTGTATGGTGGTTACTTTGGGCTTGTTATCCTCCTCCAACATGTCAGCTTTGGCTTAAAGAGTCCTATTCCTTGCATCCTGATTCTTGCAGTTTAAACAAAGAAGAATGAACATGGATTTTTCTCAACTGCACACATATACACCGCCACAGTGTGCTCCAGAGAACACCGGCTATACCTACTCTCTCAGGTGAGACCTCAGTGCTGTGCTGCAATACACAGTCAGCCCTTTGGTATTTCAGTTACACCCTGCCTGTCATTTGTCAATCTGTACAAAGAATAATGAATCTTAATTGTCCTTGAAACCCTACTGTTGAATTTTAAATCAAGCCTTTGAAAGTGTAGTGTAAACCAGATACTCCATTATTCCATTTTCTCTGGTCTCGAATATGCTATTAAGCGCCGTCAACCTTAATGCTACTATAATTACAGTTGTCAGTGTACTCATGTCATATGTCAAACTAACACACTGAAAGGTCTATGCTGCCAAAAATATTCCAGAGGTGGTTTTACATTCACTGCTGGTGCTAGTTTTGTTTTTAGATGAAAAACCTGTTATAAATAGTTGTTTAGGATACATCCTGTCAAGCCATGCTTTCCAGTTTGTTCCAAAACAGGGAACAACCATGTCTTTTTTCTTGATTACATTTTTTTTACTTTACTGAGCTTCAGTTTTTTCCTTTTTTTTCTTCTTCTTAAAACTAAAGATTCCTCTGGTTTTGATGACTCAGCCCCATGTGTGTTTATTATGCTGCTAACACAGAGCATGCACCCTATTTACCTCAACAGACCTTTACTACACCTCTAACATTGTTCAGTTTTTGGGTCTCAACAAACTCTCGTCTCCAATGATGCTCCTCATCCATGCGTTGTTTCTGGAGCTACTCATCACACCTCATAACGAAGGTGTAGTCGACACACGACTAGAAAAGTCTGTGCATGTGGAGGAATGCTGATGTCTGTCACATGTTCTCTCAGAGCAGAGAGGGTGTGTGGGTCAGGAAATGAAATATCACCTTGCCTCATGCTTAACTCCCTTTCTGACTTTAAAAATGAGTTATTGGATGACTTTTAGGAATGGAGCCCTCCCATCGTTAAAATGAGTGAAAGTGTCTTGTAAACAAGGCGAGTTTGAACAGAGAACTCTCTTCTCCTTGAAGTTGTGTTTTGAAAAAAGACCCAGAGCAGTTCAAGTTGCTGTCTCTTTAAGCTGTAATTATATTAATGATTGTATTATCTATATTCAAATTGTAAGCATCTCTGGTATGTTTGAATAGGTTGATGCACACTGGCAATATGCCTGTTGGGTGTTTTCATGTTGAAATGTGAAATAGCTTGTCTGCTGAGGTACCATGACACAAGGGGCAAAACAAATAACACACAAACCATTAACATCCTCAGAATCTCAGGACTCCTTCATGTAAACACTGTGCATCCCAGCAATGCAATACACATTTAAAAAACGAGCCTTTTGAGTGGACTGAGCCAAAGCAAGATGAATGTACAAAAGCTAGTTTGACAAACCCGCTGGAATCCACCAGGTAGACTAAAAGGCTGGAACAAGCTTATCGTGTTCCTTTGAATGCAGTCAGCTGAGAAGCTATTAATGAACCTCGGCCACAACCCGTGGCCTTGATCCCAGGATTACACTAATAGTTTATGCTTCTTGACTAGATGAGAGATCTGTGGATTTAATAAGCCTGTGTGTACTGCAGCTGAGCCGAATGATGGATTCTGTGCACTTGATGAAATGTAAATCAGCTAACTTAATATATGGTGATGTCTTTGTCTCAGTCTCGAAGTAAATAGCAGAATATCGATTATTGACATTAAATGTTTTTGCTTGCTTGTTTAAAGTTCAGAGATATGAATCCATTCAGAGGGTCTGACAGCTGATTTTGTTCAGAGAATAGAGCATATCTGTATCTGCCAGCGGATACAAGAGAGCAGTGACGAGACAGACAGAGTCAGGTGACAGAAACCGTTGGCCCATCTGTTGTCAAAACTCAAAAGGGCTGCGACAAGTGTTGTCCCATTGAATGGTCCAGGAGAAAGAGTGAAAGGAGGCCGGCCAACAGGGTTTCCCCAAACACACCAGGGAGAGACCATTACAACTTGGAGCAGCAACATTTTTGTGAATGAATAATATCATGCATACAAGAAGGAAAACACTTTTAGACAGAAATGTTATAAGTGAATTGGGATATTCGTGTGCTCGCTTAAATTCCTTAAAATAGTTTTCAGTATTCTGTTTACTGGACTGATTTAGTGATTTCAGCCATAGAGACTATGAGTATAATGTTGTTGTTTTCATATCTGAAACATATTGAAGTTTCATTGTGCATTAAGGGATTCAAAGGAAACGTGCAATGTCTTGAATCTTCAATCCCCATCTTTTCAAATTGCAGATAAAATAAGCATGCCTTTAGTATTTTAAGCAAACTCAAAAATTGCATGTTTTAATAATTTTATAGGTAACATATCTGACGTAATCCATCCTATTTGCGTACATTTTTTCGAAAAATAGTATTGTACAGCTTTTTGAGGGGCAAATAAAATATGTAATATGTAGAAAATAAAACAAATAATGAAAGAGGATGGAGAGATGTGCTAGAATAGACACTATAAATTGAATGTATGAGTGACTTTATTATTTCTGATGTGATACACCGTTGTTTGCCAAAGGTGGTCTACAAATTGGAGAAGCATGGCATCAATAAAGGGCCTTAATATTTAATAATGTTGAAAGTGGGTCAGTGGGGCTGGGGTCTCTGGCTGTAGTATTTCCCCCCGACACACGATAGCTGAACTGTGACAGTAGTACGCAGCAGGAGTGACTGGTTATCTGATGCTGTGAGTGGCTGTCTGGGAACAGCAGCAGATACCAAATGTAAAATATTTAAACGACGAATGAGACATAGGCTACGTACCAACTTCCAATTCTCTCAAAGATATGTTGAATGCAAACAGAAATACCGCCTCAAACTGGTTGAAAATGCAGATAGATTTTAGAGGAAGTATTTTTTAGGATAAATGCAGTTGGTGCTTTAATATTTCTACGTGCATGTTGTTACACTCTGCAAGACAAGGTTCAGGGATGCCTGTAACAGGCGCTGTGCATGCTGCTCACACAGTTGTTCTGACATCTGGTCTGAGTGTATATCAGTTCATGCACGACCGGGCAAGTGTCAAGCAAATGACAGCAGCTGGTGTCAGCCTGCCCAGTGGTTGTGTTGGTTAAACCCACAACATCAGACCTTTTGATGGCTCCAAGCCGGCTACAGTCAAGGTTGGAGGCATTATGTTTTAGTGTTGTTCGTCCATACGTGGAAAGAACTGTCACTACTCTGATAAACAGATCCCTGGAATTTTTAAATACAAACATGTCTCCTTGCTTGCATAAAACACTTGTCGAGGTATTTTCTGTTTCACAATCAACCAGGCCAAGAGATAACGTTTATGTTAGATTGAGTAACTGTTGGAATCTCTTCATGTCCAGTCTCTGCTACGGATCGGTCTTTGATGAGCCAGGGAAATGTTTAAAGTGGTCTCCATCGCAACCACAGCAACATGAAACGCCACACTGTAGTGCAATGGAGGGGGAGCGAGAGGACACAAGTGAAGTGTTTTCTGTGGGAGGGAAAGTGAGGGTGGGCTGCAACGATCCTAATCACAGTGCTAAATCCTTCCCACCCAGAGATAGTTGGACAGACATTTGAAGGCGCTATGCTTGTTCCCAGACTCCCAGTTCCTGGCCTCTAGTAAATATAGGCCTCAGCACCTCAGGGGGAAAAACCTTCTGTAACGGTTTGATTAAAACGGGAAGGCAAAGAGTGTGCTACAGTGCTCTGATTTGGTACTTTCCCCAGACTTCTCAGTGCAGTATCATTTCAGTAAACACAGCATGGCCCCACAGGGAATTATGGAGGAGATATACATAGATAGTTGGAAATAGTTGACAAAGTACTATACTTAAGCCAAATTACAGCATTCAAAATGACATGATTTGATGAGAAGATCTGATGTTTGACTCAAGGCTGTTCACATTTGCAATAATACACATGTTGTTGTTTAAATATTGTAATCTGTTGCCAAGTAGGACAAGTATCTCTGAGTAGTCTCACCCGGTGCACTCCACACTGATGCTAACTAGTTTTATCCGTAACTTTGAGTGGCAGTTTATCCTACTAAAGACTTTCATTGGGAACAACACGCCCATGTCTTGTAAAAAAATTGTTTTTGCTGTGTTCTTGTGCGTGTGAGGGTTCATGCTTTCCTTACCACACGTTTGGTTTTTAAATTCAGATCCAACGACACACATGGTTTCTATTTCTCGAAGTTATGCGTGTGTGGTAGCCAGTGTTTTTTTGTTCAGGGTTTATTTGTGCAAGTCTGTTTAGTATCTGAGCTCAACACTGTAGACTTTCATCCAATTGTGTCCATGCTGTGTTCTCTGAACAGAGCACACTTTTTTGCATACACTATGCAAAGCAAGCAGGCAGGAGGTGGGTGGGTGGGTGGCAAGTCCCTTTTAGTGGCAGCAAAGCCAACATGGTACTGGAAGAGTAGACTCACCAGAAGGTATGTTACTAAAGTTACTTTCCTTTACCTTGGAGGGATTTATCTTTTGTTGCTCTGGTTGGATCTGAAAGAACAGATGAAAAGCAGGCTTTAACATAATGGCTGCTGCTGCGAATCCCAACCTGCCATAGAAAGTCTGTTGTCTCCAGGGTACGAAATCCTGACAAGCCTGTAAAGGGCCGACGCCAAAGTAATGGAGCTTCCACCCCAAGGGCAGATACTTTCTCAATGATGCAAACACATTCATCTTGTTGCAGTTACACCTGGATAAATAGCTGAGATCCAGTTATCCCATCCTGTAGGTGCATATGCACCCTGAAGTCTTTTTACATTTTTTAAAAGCAAGACGTACATCATATTCTCTTACAAAAAATAGATAGCTTTTTGAGAAACAGTTTATTTTCATTATCAATCAGCCTTCCCAGTGTTTAATTTGATTATTGGACGGTTTATAAATAAATGAAAAAAACTAAATCCCAATAGAATTTCATTCAAGACCAATTTGTCCGACCAACAGATCAAAACCTAAAGTTATTGACTATTGTGGCCTGATCATTTTTTTAATAAATTAAACTTTCTTTGATGCCTTTTCATGTCATCACACTTTTTTTTTACACTACTGTTATCCATATATTGTCAAATATGATGATATTGTTGTTTCTTGCATTACCCTCTGATGTCCACCAACCTTGATCCCCATCCTGCATGTCCATGTGGCTGTGCATTATAACGTGCGGTTTTAAAATGTAGAATCCTTTTCTGATCTAATGCTCTGTATAGTTGTGTTTTGTAAGAAAGCCAGCTGTGCCCACTGAGTGTGGGAAGAGAATCAAAGCTTCACTGTTATGTAAGGAGAGATTCCAGGAAGCTGAATGTCAGGATGGAAGTGTCTTCTTTCTCCATACTGTATGTCTGTCTCTTCATCTGTGTCTTTTTCACACAGTTCTGAAAGCACAATGTCTATTTTTATCACCCATGTGGGCCGTGGGTGCCGCCTGGGAGAGTGAACGGAACAGAGATCAATTTGGAAACCGATAACCACTGAAAAGAGTGAGCAAAACTATTTAACATTGTTTACATCTTCTGATGAGACAGACTGGGGTTTGAACGGGGTGTGATAGCCAGCACATAAGGTAGATCTTTACTTTTGTGCAGTCCGGATTGGTTTATTATACAGAGTTTGTTGTTAAAATAAAGATCTATGTGACTATTTTTTTAATGAATTGCCAGGTAGAGCAACATATTGCTGCATTAATGATTGTGCCTAGCTGTAGGCCACACAGACAAACAGACACAAGTCAGTTTTCTTTCCCACGCACGCCCTGCCGTGCCCAGCAGAGAGCTTCAGGCGCTCAGTCGGTAACACTACAAGAGATCCTTATCCATTATGTTCTAGACTCGTTTGATAAACTGTGTTGCATGGGTTTGTTTGTAAAACACGGAGACATACCGTAGTGAAGTTGTCTGTTGGCTCAGGATGTAACCTGTTAACACACTTTAATATACTTCTTTAGCCCTCAGGAATTCATATTATATTCATTTAAAGCAAACACAAGATTTGAATGGGACATTTTCATCAGACAAGCAGAGACAAAGATGGGATGGAAAATGGATTGTTCTGTGGTAATTGATTAACCTGGGTCTGTGTTTTAAATACCGTCCATGCTCAGCTGTCCTTGCATGGCCTCACGTTCTTGTATTGAAGGCAGTGTGCAACTATCCCTCTCAGGCATCTAAGTAGTACAATAACATGGGCTCTATTGTGGGTTACAAATACATTATGTAACAGTTGATATGAAGGTAAATCACTACTCACCGTTGCATTCCTTCTTGGAGAGATTTCATAGGTATGTGAGTGGGTAAGAGTTGCATTTGTTGCATATCTATGGCATTAGATTTTCACGCACTTGAATGAATAAACTTCCCTCTCAAAGATTTATGGAAACGGAAGTGGTGTAGAGCCTTTTTAGTGAGACATATTTCATATAAACAAACATAAGAACAAAGGCTTTGGTCCTAAACATGTGTCATTGTCCTTGGCATATGCTAAACAGTGGATTCTAGCTCTGGTGAGTTTCAGACCAACGGACCGTGGGCATGTGTTCAGAGGTTGGAGCAGGAGGCAGAGCGAGCAGGAAAGCACATAATTGGCTCTCAGTTTGTAATCCTCAGTGTGTAAAGCCAGAGGGCGGGCCAACGCTCAGGTTAGTTTGTTCTGCTTGTAGGACTTGGCCTTCATATACTCACTGCTGTGCGAGGGCTCCTATGGAAAGGTCCCTACTCAGGTGTCCAACAGGAAGTTTATTCTCTGCCCTCCAGTGACAGATAAAGGGCTTGGCTCCTCCTGTTCATCCTCCCTTTGCTGCCTGACCTAGTTGAGCCACATGCTAAGGGTTGAACACAGTCTGCAGTGTCCAGCTTGGTCAGGTCATTTCAGTTTGTGTTATTAGAATTCCGCATTAAATACAAAAAAGGTCAACGTTAGTAAAAGCAAATCAATAAGAAAGATAGATTTTGTTTCTGTCTTATAAAATGTACCTGCTTTGCCACTGAAGAGGGAGTGTGTATAGTCATTCTATTCTTTCTTTACATTACAATTGCTAAGAGGGATTAAACACATTTTTTAAACTTTTTGTTCCAGTGAATTTTGCAACTCTTCGCGTGTTGCCTGTTAGTCACGTCTGAATGTTGGCCTAGATTCTGCCTTCCTACTCTGCCAGGTGGGTGTGGCCCCGTGAGTCACAGCTGCATAAGGCATGGCAACGTTTACAACATTCATGGTGTGTTACCACTTATGGTTGGCTTTCGGTTGCAGTGAGTGGAGTAGATTTTGTTTTCTTCAGCCTACATGCATTCTTTGGGATGTTTATCTGGTGTATTTTTCCTATTGGACTTCCAGAACCCACTGTGCCTATTCTTTTGTGTCGTTTTCTCTCTCCCTTGTGAGTGAGTCATTTCCTGTTAGGCCCACTGTCAGCTGCAGGGAACAACAATATTAGAGCTCTCTAAAAGGACTGTCTGTTCCTATCTTTTGTTTGGTTTTGTTTCAAAAGAAAGCTTCTCTGAAGATGGCACACACAAGTGTAGGAGATCTCTTATAAGTATTGATATAAGGGTGAAGTCACTCGAGGCCTGTTAGTTGTTTGCAGATGAGTTACCGTGCAGAAGACTTCCCTCTCTGTGATTAACTGTCATCTTTTTTTCTTTTCCCCTCACTTTCCCGCTCTTTCTGCTCCACTCTTTCCTCCTGTCTCTCTCAGCTCTAGCTACTCAACAGCAGCGTTAGATTTTGAGAAGGAGCACCAGATTGCCGCCGTATACGAGTCGCCCAGGATGTCACGGCGGAGCCTGCGTCTGCAGACTGGTGCCGGTCACTATGACAATGAAAGCCTGTCCGAATACTCCCATAACCACAGCGACAGCAACAGCTATACCAGCACCAAGAAAGAGACACGGTAAGACTAGCAATAGATGCTAACACTCCCACTTAACTAATGCAGGGAATACATTAAATTAAGCATTAGCCTGCAGTTCAACTGTAAAAAAGGGACATGTTTTTTTTTTTTTTTTAAGCTCTCTCTTTTTTTTTTTTTTATTATAATAAGAGTATGTTTTAATATTTATGTTGGCATGAAATTGAGTGATATAACCATTCAACTTCTTCATGGCTGATAATTATTGTCTATCCTAAAACAAAACACAAAACACCAACAGCTGGACTGAAGTTGTGCAGTAACTTGCAGTAAAATGAGGTACACACTTAACTCTGAATACTGCCACTAAGCCGTGTTAAACGGTTGCATCCAGGTAGGGTGTCGTGTATAAAAGCTGGCATTTTGACCAACTCGGCTAACTGACGCCCTTGAGTGCGTTCTTTTTGTCTGACCCTACAATACTTTTCATTCTGTTGATCTTAACATGACTGGCATTTTCGTATCCATGCAAGAAAACTCACGCTCTTCATGCTTCCTTTCTCTGCTCTCTAGGGCGCTGCGAGGCAAAAAGCAACAGTCCAGTTCCAGCTCCCGGTCTCTCTCCTTAAGCCAAGCTGCTACACCGAGGAAAACCCTCTCCTTCTCAGCCGCTAATACCCCAATTAACAGCAACAGCAGCGTCATTCATGAAAGCCACACAGCGTCTGACGGATCGCTACTCGCCTCCATCCTGGATCAGTCCAGCCTGAGACAACGCACCCACACCACAACCACAACCACCACTTTTGTGGATGGGCACCTGGGTCAGTTATATTCTACTATATACTTTAATCACACTTTTGTCATTTGAGTATTTGTTTATTGAATTCCACCTTTCAGGATATTCAAGTTACATTACCTGCCTTAAAATGAGTAAATGACCTTTAGTTTTAAAGTTTTAATTATTGAGTTAGTCTTTCTTGGTCTTCATTGACTGAAGCATCTCAGTTCTGTGTGAATGCGTTTCCAACATTGTGTAGTTGAGTCTTGAGCCTGTATCACAAAGCATGTTTTCACTATCAGTTTTGATTTCTAAAATGAGTGATCTTGGATATCGGGTCTCAAAACTTCAATTTTGAATGAGAAGCAATAGTATCAATAATAGTCTTAACGTAAAAAGGACAAAGACGTTAGGCTACATGGCGAGTACTACATTTGGCCAATACCACTTGCACCATTTTCCTTATTATGATGTATGCTGCAATGAATTGCTCCTTTCACCTTGTAGTAAAAGATCTTGATACTTCCTCCATTACTGTATGTTTACTGTTCCCCTGTGTTATAAATAGAGCCATAGCATACTTGCTTGGTAATATCTTTACTACTACATTAAGCATTTAACAGTTCTCCTGTGTTTTAATGATTGTGTCTTAACACGCTGTTTTCTCTCAGGGAGGAATGACCACAGTTCATCAAGTGTGAACGGTGACGCCAGCGCATCAAAGTCCCACACCGCAGTCGCCAATGGTTACATCTGCAAAGACTGCTCGTTTCACTCTCAGACGGAGTCCCCTATCACATGTTCATCTTCATCATTATCATCATCATCTCAGGCTGCAGAAGCTTCCTCGGACGCCCTCTTTTCCTCTTCCTCGGACGCCCACTTTTCCTCTTCCTCGTCACCCTTCACAAGCATATACTCCAGAGACAGGACTCGAAGGAACAAGACAGGTGAGGGAATGTTAAGTTGGACTAAAATGTCACATTTGTCCTTCTCCGTGTTGAAAGTATTGGAGCTGGAACGTGCCAGTGTGTTGTGGTAATGAGAATATAATGGCGGTGGTGTCTCTCTGCAGGTGTCCTGGTGTCTATGTCTCACACGTGTATGCGCTACAGCAAGCGAGCCCTGGCTCCCATAGTGTCCTTAGTCACCCTGCTCTTCAACAATGTGCTCTGGCTCGGTTCAAGGGCAAAGAGCCCGCCAGGAAAAGGTACACAACAAGAGAAGTTCTTTACTCTTCAATCACTTCCCATCATACTCTGTTTTTTTCTGTCATTTGATGTGGTATTTGTTCCTAAGTGAGATCCCCGAGACCTTGACGAAAAACTTGACTCATTTCTCTTTTGCAGATAGTTTGAAATCTCATCAGTCATCATCTATTTCTCTTCCACATGTGACTTTACCACCTTTCTTTGTATCTGGCTTCTCAAAGCTTCTTTTTGTTTTCCTATTAGGGTTTCTATCTTCAGGGGATTTTTTGATCCTAATATCACACATTTGTATTTGTTTTATTTTGTGTTTCTAGCCATGTGTAGACTGTGAGTTTTGACTAACAGTGATTGTATGGGGGCGGGTTTGTCACCAGGTGTCCTTGTGTCGTGTTCGGACTCAATGAAACAAGCGGTGTCCTCCAGTTTTTCCCAACTGTGGCTGTTTAAGCAGAACACTCTTCACAGGATGATGGGCCACAGGGCTAATGGCTATGAAGGACAAGGTACCAGCCGTAACGATAAAAGGCAAAGGTCAAGGGTCACAGCTCCTGACCTCCTCTGCTGCTCTTCTGTTAATACTCTTTCTTGTAACCATTTCTCTCCTTTCTCACCTCAGTAAAAAAGCCTTATATTAGAATATGTAATTGAATTGACTTTGAAGGGCTTCTTGATAATCTCTGTTTCTCTCTCTGTTCAACTTTCACTTTCACATTGTCGCTTTCTATTTCTGAGGGAGGAAGTTTACTAGAAACTAAATTAAACTTGTACATTCCCAAGACGATTGCCTAAATTTAGACAGAACTATCACATGAAAAATAGAACATTTAGCTCTTCAGAAGATTAAAGCTTAACAATAAGAACTCCGGACATTGATAACTCTGCAGTTAAGGTTATAATTTGTACAAGGTCAGTTTTATTTCTAGTAAACTGCTGATTTATATATCCTTTATTTAACCAGGTAAAAGACTCATTGAGATTAAAATGATTAAAGCTGGTTGTTTCAAAGCTGCTGGTGAATGTCCTCTCAGGTCCATTTGCTGTCACCATGTATTAGGGCGGAACAATTGGGAAAACATATATTTGAGCAATTTCACTTATATTGAAATTGCAAGATGATTCACTTTATTGGGAGAATGATACATTTTGGGTTACTGTTCTCATGTTCATTACAAACAATTAAATATATATTTATTTTTGCGAGAATCTGTACCAAACAAAGGTTTTTATTCATAAGCTAATGAAATATGATTTGTGGGCAGATCTCTGCAGCAACACGATATTTAATTGCAGAATGATATTTTGATATATATATTATTTATAAACGGATATTATGACTCTTGCTATATGGATAATGCAATAATCCTTATTGTGATTTTAATAAAGTACCAATTCATTTTTCAGCCCTACTGCTTGACCTATTAGCTGTTTTCATGCACCCGTATTCTCACTGTCTTCATGATGACATCGAGATTTTCTGCAGGCCCGTTGATGACGTGCATTAACTCTCTTCTTCTTCTTCTTCTTGCATTGTTAAGCTCATCTCAATTTTCTCACACTACATGGTTTTTGTCATGTAAACAAATGTGTTGTATGTGTGTTGCAGCTCACTCAAGTTTCTGTGGAAGCATGAATGTGAAGGACCTGGTGACTGAGGAGGCCTCACATCTTAAACTCAATGGTTCCCTGTGTAAGCAGAGACACACACACACACACACACACACACACACACACACACACACACACACACACACACACACACACACACACACACACACACACACACACGATCTCTTTCTCTCTATACTTGGAACGTTTCTGTGTGGTAGCATTGACTGACTTAGTTAATGATATGCGTGACCTGTGTTAGGACCACCAGGCAGAGGTTGTGTGAACTGCTTTAACAAGTCAGCAGCCTGTTGACCGTTATGACCTGCAGATACTTTCCTTTCAATGAAGTTAGTCCTTCAAACCTGTTTTAAGAGTCCAATTTAACATCAAAACGTACCTTCATAAATGATGATACACTTTGGACTAACAGCTTGCTTGTCTTCAAACTAGTTTGTTTTTATCTTGCACAAATATTATAATAACAGATGTTTAACATAAGTAAAAGAAGAGGTCAAGGGGTGGACGTTTCCCTAAATTGAGAAATAATCAAACAAATGTAAAAAACAAACTTTCATAAAAGGTCCCATGTCATGGCCATTTCTACTGATCATAATTCCATTGTTGAGGCATACTAAAATACATTTATATTGTGCAGTTTTCCAAAATCGCATTGGTTTCTCATACAGCATCTCTGTAAATATGTGTATTCACTCTCTGTCCTAAACGGCTTGTTGGAGCTCCTGCCCCCCCCCTCCCACACACACACACACCCGCAGCCTGGCTGGGAGTTTGTGTGTGTGCTCAGGCTGAGTTCTGCTGTGTCTCGCCGACCCCACACCAGTGAGCCAGCTCACAGTGTCCCGCTCCTCGCAGCAGCGAGCCTCGCAACGTCCTGCCGAGTGTGTGTGTGTGTGTGAGGAAGTCCGCGGATTGGTCCAAACGTAACGGCTCCGCGGACGTGACGTTACGTTACGTCACTATACCCAAATACGTCACTATACCCAAGAAGTAAACAATGGAAAAAGAGAAATCTCCAACGAGGCGTTCTGGGGCAGCATAGACAGGTCTTTTCTGTGTTAGAGTTTTACTCGCTACAGGGTGTACTTTGAGGGTTTGTGACTCTGCAGATCGTTTACATACATACAAATCTACATAACACACAAGGGGACGGGTAATAACCGGAAAAGCATGACATGGGACCTTTAAGGAGACACAGTTTAGAAATGATCACGGGCATGTTCTCATACATCTAGCTGTCCATGTTGTCATCACATATAGTATATTGCATATTGTTCATCATGCCTGCACGTGGCCCACTTGAACATTCTTTGTATTTCAAACATAAATCAATACATTTTAATTTCTGTTCCTTCGCCTAATTACGAATTGCATAACTTTGTTTTTGCTTGTAAGCCATCCTAATGCCATCCATTCACACATCCTTTGTTTTTTTTGTGTTTTCTGTTTGCCTGCCATCCATCATGTCGGCGTACACAGGCGATGACTGTAAAGGGAAGCAGCATTCAGAGACACACACCGTCCTCCTCACACAGTCCTCCAGGCCTCGACGCCTGGTGGGGGCGCTGTGGAGCGTCCTAGCTTATGCAGGTTAACCAGCAATTTACTTGCGTTGATAACAGCCTGTAAATATACTGTTAGAAGAATGTGTTTAGTACTCATACGTTTATAACTCAACCTGTGTGTAGATGAGTACACGCTATAATCGATCAACTAAACACTTTCCCTCTTTCCCCTTGTCTTCTAGGTCACTGTCTCCTGCAGCCAGGCTACTGTGTGGCGGGAGCCGGCAAAGCGTTGGGGTCAGGGGTCGGGACAGTGGTTCGGACAGTGGTGCAGAGGCTGCTCTCCGTCTTCTGGATGCTCCTGGCTGCTCCAGGTCGGTGGCACTTTTTTATCTCATCTTGTTACGATGATGTGTCGTCTCTGCTTCTTCCTTTAATAGCTTGGTCAGATTGTGATCTCATTCTCTCTGTGTGTGTTTTATATTTATTCCATCGTCCCAGTGAAGGCAGGCCGAGGACTCTTGTGTTTTCTTGCAACAGGATGGTACCAGCTGGTGTCTCTTGTGTCTCTTCTCAATGTCTTCTTTCTGACACGGTAAGCCCCCAAATATTTATCTGAACCTTCCGGTGTTGCAATGCTCAAAAGGGTTAACTGTTGTCAAAACATTTAAAGAAAATATATTTTTGTAATAACAATTTATAAAATAAAAATGTAAAATGCATCGCTCGTAGTGATGAAATTGAATCTGCAGCCCCGAAAGGCTAAACAGAACTCTCCTTCCACTTTTACTATTACAAAAAACGTCACCACTAACTGTTTAGCTCCAAACAGACGCAGTAAACAACTTGCTGATGAATATAGGACCGCATTAAGTGGCTAAAGAGAGGAAATATTGGACTTGCATACACTCCAAGTGAATGCTATCTTTGCTCCACAACTGCTAGATGAATCAACAGCATGTACTTGTTTATCTGACCATAGTGTATCTCTGTGTTTCAGATGCCTTCCCAAACTCTGGAGGCTCCTGCTATTCCTTTTGCCCCTTTTGCTCCTCCTTGGTGAGTTGATCAGAAATGCTCTTTTCCTTTATCACATGGGTAACCTATTTACTGAGCAGGTACGGAAGAAAATCAGTCTGTACCGAGGCACTAGATGTCCTCACAAGCACACATCCCCAGAGTATGATGCAAATCTAGAACCAGATTCAGGTCAGCCTTGCTGGGCTTCTTGTGAGTTACTTCACTCAGTTTATTTTTTCCAGTTATCTTGCGAGCTACTCCTTTTGGTTGACGTACTTTCCTCTCATTTCTAATATATTATGTTTTATTTTAATATTAAATATGGATGCGCTTGTTCCAACACTTTATTGCATCTAGTGTCTATGACGTTTAGGTTAATGGAAAGATGCCAACGTTTAAATAAAATGTAAATATTGTTTGAATAATAGTGTGTGCCGCTGTTATATTGGACAGAATGTAAAATACATTTCTGAAGGGACCAAGTTTCACCACACACAAGAATAAGATTGCAATGAGTGGCCAAAGAGTGTGCTAAAAATCTTTACTTTCTGTTGTCTATATGCAGCGTTTTGGTTTTGGGGTCCGTCCGCTGCTGCCATACTTGCCTACCTCCCAGCCATAAACCTAACAGAGTGGCGTCCGGCGTCTCCCATCACCCTCCTGTCCAACTTGGTGCCAGCTGTTGCTCCGGCCCCTGCCTCTGTCCCCGTCCTTCCAGCAGAGACTCTAGTGGAGCAGACCCCAGCCACCCCGGTCTCACCGGCACCGGTAAGATGAAACCACGAGCAGCGCTAAAACACTGTTAGAAGTCACTGAGTAATATGAGAGTGTGAACTATTACATTAAGTATGTTGCGGTTAAAGCACTTTCTAACAGACATTTTAAACGCCAAAAGTGCTTTGCCCTGTACTTCAGTGCACACAGACACAGTTTATAAATAAGATAAATAATGCTTTTGTGCTTCTGGTCATATGCAGGGCCGTCTTAGAGCCACCACACATGGTGACCTTTTTTCTGTATTTCTTCAAAATCTTCTCCTCCTCAGCCACTCCTCCCCCCTGTGGCAGTCTCTAGTATTGACTTGGAGCGCCTGGAACGTGTGGAGGGCAAATTAACCCTGCTGTGGGATCGAGTCCAGCAGGGTGAACATAAGCAGGATCAGAGTCACAGGGACGTGTTGGCTCTCTACAGCTCCCTGAAAGAGCATTTCCACACAGAGACAGACAGAGAGACCCTGGGACTGTGGGTGTCCTCCCTGCTGGAGAACAGACTGGGCGTGTTGCGGGGGGAGCTGGAGCAGGAGAGTACACACAGAGCCCAGGTGAAGAGATTAGGATAAGTCCTGAGTTGTGCAATGTTTTGCTCTAAAAGCTCACTTGTATCTCACTTTTCTTTCTCTTGATACCTTCTCCATGCAGAGTGCTGAGCAGCAGCAGAAGCACCAAGAGGGTCAGGCAACACGGCTGGCTGATTTAGAGTTGTGGCTCAATGCTCTGACTGCCAAGACTGAGGTAAGTTAGCAGAAACACTGCTCTTCTACTGAAAACCTCTTAACTATGTGTCTGCAAGATAGCTTATTTATAACACAATTATTCAAACTGAATATAAACCTTTATATACAGCTTAAAATAAATAGTAAAGGCAAGCAAGAAACATCTTATTAACCATGATTAAATTAAATAATCCATATTTCATTAAAGAATAGAGGTCTAATGGCAAACAGTAACAAAGAATACACTGCAGGCATTCATACAAAGCCTGAAGTTTAAATATTAACCTACAAGGTTCAAGGTTCAAGGTTTTTATTTGTCATACGAACATAGCTACAGTGTTGTTATGACGATGAAAATCTTAGATCACAGGCTCCTCCAACAGTGCAACCCAATAACACAGATAAACAGAAAAATATAGTGCAAGTAAATACAAAAAGAAAAATAGTTTACAAAGTGAAATAGTGCAATAAGAGTCTATATGCAAGTTATTGGACAAACACAACTATTATTAAAGCATAAGCTAAGATATGGTTGTTTTAGGTCTGTTTACAAAGGAACAGTGCGGCGGTATTGAAAATATAATGTTCTTCCTAGAAAATTCGAACTGTCATTGTAGTTTATGTTTTTTCGGCTTTCTTCAGTTATTCTTCTTGATATTTATCGTAGGAGGTGCAACAGAGGCAGCAGCAGTATGAGCACGAGAAGCAGGAAAAGGAGGAGGAGGTTGTCCCTTCAGCAGCAGACACGGTTCCTGTCAGGTACAGACACCAGAAGAACTGTGTTTCTTAGTATGCGCTATTCACATTTTGTGAGCAAATTCTTCAAGATTATGGCAGCTCACATGTAGATGCTGTGTCTTCTTCTTAGTGTGGGCGTGAAGCAGGAGGAACATGATGCTCTGCTAGCGGAGGTGAAGAGACTTGAGCTGGAGCTGGGCAAAATCAGACAGGATCTGCTGGGCGTTGTGGGATGCAAGGGCAAGTGTGAGCAGCTGGAAACACTGCAAGAGACGGTACGCAACACAACTATTAACTCCTGTTTGGGCTATATTCTGCCCTCACTGTGATGCAGTTTCCTGAATATTTAGTTCCTGGCATCCATTTGTTTTAATTATTGGTTCTCTGTGTATCTTTCCCCCCAGATATCAGCCCAGGTGTCCTCCCAGGTATCCTCCCAAGTATCCTCCCAGGTGCGTAAGGAGCTGCAGGCTCTGTTCTTCGGCAGTGGTGGGTCAGGAGCGGAGCAGGGAGAGGTGCCTGAGTCTCTGATCCTCTGGTTGTCTCAGCGCTACGTCAGCACACCCGACCTGCAGGCCTCCCTCTCCTCACTGGAGCACAGCATCCTGAAAGACGTGTCCCTGCAGCTGGAACTTAGCCAGGCTCAAACCCTGGGAGAGGCTGAGTCCCAAGCCAAGACCATCGTTCAGACCGTGAGCGGGAGCGTCCAGCACACTGCTGCTGCTGAGGGACTGACGAAAGAGGTAATGAACATAAACTGGAAACATCATTATTGCAGGGGAAGCTCTTTAAAAAATGTTATTGGCCATGTGTTTGAGGCTCTTCTTTAATTTGTAAGTCTTGTGTTGTGGTCTATTCTCCAGCAAGTGGCGCTGATTGTCCAAAACGCTTTGAGGCTCTACTCCCAGGACCGAACAGGCCAGGTGGACTATGCCCTGGAGTCTGGAGGTAAGAAGCAAGACTGACTTCACTATCAGCCTGTCTGTCAAAGTCAAGTTAGGCTGCATCAACAAAATGGTTCTTGTACAGGGGTGTGTGCGGGTGTCAATAAATGGCTCATTTGTGTGATGTCATGTTTTGAACTTTGAACACCCCAATGTAGGACAAGTATACTTTTTTTCTCAACTGAACTTTTTTTTGTGTGACCTTGACATTTCCAACCACAATGAAACGCAAATGCATATTTTTCACGGCTACGACAAGAGAAGACGTTGGCTAGTAGTTACACTTCAGTAAAATACAAGTTTCTTAGACTGAAGTTGTTTTCAGCAGGGAGAGACGGAGATGTTTACTGTACTCTCTCACAACGTGATTATCAATCAGTGTCTCATTGGGCTGCGTTTCTCTAAACGTTGAATCTGTTTGAACTTTTCTAATTCACTCTGTGATTTTTTTCCTGAAGCTCATTTGCACCTACCGTCATTTAGATGGGAGAATCTGTTTTTTAACCTTACTGTCTGAGCTGTTGTGAATGCAGCTTTACTAATGGGTAGAAGGGATCAGCAAGCTAGCTGCTCCATCACTCAGCATGGTGCGCTAATGCATGTCTCTTACATAATGAGGGTGCATGCATTAGTCAGGCTGGAGGACAACAGAGTATTAACAGCAAAAGCTCAGGCTCTATTGTCAGGTGTGTTACTGAGCAGTCTGTTGACCTACATGAGAGGCACAGTAAGTATTCAGATATACTCCATATAATCACTACCACCTGTTGCATTTCCGGTCTGTCTCTACGATAGTGCGGCTTGGGCTTGGGATTCAAAACCACTGTACGTTAACAGATTTAGGTTGGCCTCTCACGATAAACAATAAATAATTGCCATAAGAAATATTGTTTTCGTTTTGAGACAATTTTTTGCAAGTGACATATTGATAATATAACAGCATGCTGATATTGTACACACTTTGAAAGGGCAATGAGTATTCTAAAAAGGAGCTCTTTATTTCAGGCAGGGCAACGTGATGTGTGGGCGTATGCTTTCCCGTTAAGCTACTAACAGTTAGTTTGTTGTATGAGTCTCTCTCCTTATGAGAAGTAAAAGCCAGGGGTTGAAGCCCATAATAAAGGAGAACTGTACATGTAAGGACATGTTGACAGATGGCTTTAAGGATAAAGATGCTGTGGCAGTTGGAACCATACACCCAAGCTGAGTGTGCAGTATGATGGACTATCAACTTCCAATATGTATAACTACACAATAAAGTACTACATTCAAATTGACACTTCCTCCTGTCTCCTGTGTGTTTTCAGGTGGCAGCATCCTCAGCACTCGCTGCTCTGAGACGTATGAGACCAAGACGGCCCTCATGAGTCTGTTCGGCCTGCCTCTCTGGTACTTCTCCCAGTCTCCACGGGTCGTCATCCAGGTGAGTGCCACCAGGATATATCCATGAGAGTAATGTTTATTTCACTAAGTAAGTTAAAGGTTATGTTCGCAGTTTTTCACTGTTGTCTTAAAACAATGGCAACTTGTGAACTTTGAAAGCTTTCCTTAAAGCCTTTTATGCTGTCATTTCTCCTTCCTGCTTTTAGCAAGGAAAGAGTTTTGCTTTGACTTACACAGACTGCTTAAGCATCATATTGGCTTTTGTCTCACATAAGATACACTCAAAGCACACAGTAGGGGTATTCTAATGACCACTATCTAGAGAAAGAATAATTGCAGCGAGCAAAACCCTTTTACAAGTTCCTATCATTTAATCCTGTAATGAAATGTTTGCGATCATAGAGTGGTTCCTCTTTGGTTGATGAATTATAGGAATTTTCTGTTGTTGTAATGTAATTGTTGGAAATAAAATTGCTTAGTAGAAACACTCATTCTCAAGTCCTTGTTGCCGTTATGATGAAACCTATTTCAGCATTTCTACTCTCACTTCCTCTCCTCAGCCCGATGTGTACCCCGGTAACTGCTGGGCGTTCAAAGGCTCTCAGGGTTATCTGGTGATTCGGCTGTCCCTCAGGATCCTGCCCACATCCTTCTGTGTGGAGCACATCCCTAAGGCCCTGTCTCCGACCGGAAACATCACCAGCGCGCCACGCAACTTCACTGTCTTTGTAAGAAACATAACATAAAGCCTTACAACTAGACACGCTGATACATTCCTATTTTGACTGATGTCTGTTTGTCTACAGGGTCTTGATGATGAGTACCAGGAAGAAGGGAAGCTGCTGGGGCAATACGTGTATGAGGAAGATGGAGAGTCACTGCAAACCTTTCCTGTTATGGTAACTTAAGACACACCTCCTATTATTCATCAAAATGAAATCATTGTCTACTAGGATGTTCTGAATATCCCCCCCCCCCTCTCTTTCAGGAGCAGAATGACGGGTCCTTTCAGATCATAGAGGTGCGCGTGCTGTCTAACTGGGGTCACCCAGAATACACCTGCATGTACCGCTTCAGAGTACATGGAGAACCTCGGCCTCAGTGAACCAGCCACTACCATCCACACTCATAAATGACATATCACAATATCTGTACATAGCTCTCGCCAACTTCTTTTTAAACAACAGGGACGGGACTCGGCAGAACTCTGTGGACGTTTTTATATGAAAGACATGAAGACAATGAAGTTGTGGATTGTAAGGAATGTTTCCTGGCTGAATCATGAACATGTGTTTTACAATACTAAAGAATCGCAGGATAGTCTGTATGTGGACTGAGTGATTTCAGAAGAAGAAGAGAACCTCAGAAGAAGCTAAAACTCCCAGTCCTCTTTTTGTCAAAATGCCTCTTGCGCTGAATCAGCCCGTTAGGGGCGACCGGCTCCACGGAGTGGACACATCCATCCCTCTCTTGGCACCTTCCACTCCTACAGGGAGTTGGACGCTTAGAATGGGGTTTATGGAATTATAGACACATCTCCACCATTTCCTCATCTGCCGCATCTCAGTCTGATTTTGGTTTCTGTACTTAATCATCTATATTTAACTCTGATTTCCTGTGACTCTACTATTTTCCGGATCATAGCCACTTTTGCCTGTGATACTGAACAGGCATGTCACTCCTTTTGTTGCTGTCAAGTCTCTGAAATGACTTTACCTGAGCTGTTTGGGCAGCCTTCAAAACTGCACACCACTCACAGTGGATATATAAAGTTCACTACATTCAAGGCCCCATGCATCCACATAACCTTTTTTCTTTGGGAACTGAACATGTTGCCTATGGACAGGCTCTGAATGTCTCCTCAAGTGAATGCTTGATGCAAATCATCCTTTAACTTCACTCCAACAGAAGCAATCAACACTATAACCACTGACCTGAGCTTTGAGCTGTTTTAGGAGGATCCTCACTTTGTAATTTAGACAAGATATGTGTATGGTTATGGATGGACTCCAGGATTAACACTTGCATGTGACTCTTCCCAAACCATTCTCCTAACTTGCAAAGTAAATGCATCCTGGATTTACATGAGGTATGAAGGCGTTGGGTCCTGTGCCTGGATCTCAAAATACTAATGACAGATGTCAAAAGCTAACTAAAGACTGTAATTTAGCTTTAAACATCTTGCTGTCGAACGCTAAATGATTTAATTACTCCTGTAGACAAGAGTGTGATTTTTCTTTCCTGATTCTCTAAAGAGGCGACTGTGTCTCCCTCTAGCTCAGTTTTAAACGTCCTCCTCACATGGGCTCCTCTATTCTGAAACCCTGAAGGAATGTATTCTGTATATTTTATTGTTGATAGTCGGTCCTTTATAATATCTGCTTTTATCAGTGTTGCTTTATAAAAAAATCATCCTTTCATAATTATCATGTATTACTACCATTATTTCTACTGTTACTCATCGTGTTGTTTTCCTTTATTTTGTTTAGTTTTTTGGGGGGGGGTTGGATGTCGAAGGATGCACTGCAATGACTTGTCAGAGAAATGTTTGTGGCACAGGTCTTCAGAATTTGTTTTTTTAATTGAGGGTGTATGTATTCATTAATTTTGGTTCCAAATATGGGGAAGTCTAAAATGTTATGTATAAAAAAATGTTATGTTCACAATATTATTTATTAACAAGTCAATTAGTGACGGCAAGATGTGAGTTACTGCGATGTATATTTTGTCAAAAGCTGTTCAGTGCATTTTGGAAGCATCTTGGGACTTTTTTTTTTTTTTAAAGATAAATGGCTATTTTTGTTCAGTCATGAGATGACTTGACTGCTTTGGAATATATTCCAATAAAGATTTTAATTTTGAAGAACTTCTCTGAGTAATATAATAATGACTAATGACTAATATTGCTATGCTCTTCCAGCAAAGGATATATCATGCATTTTGATCATCGTGAAATACGTGTTTTGCATTGCAATATTCTTTTTTTTGGTAAATGTGTTTGTTTAAAGCTGATAGTTAAAGATGTGACATCATTTAGGACTGAACTGTTTCTATAATAGCACAAAATGATGGCCCATCAGTAATATAATATGGCTAAACTCAAAGAAACAACTAAATACAAAATGACAAAGTGGTATGAAACAAAAATCCCTTAAAATAACAATTACAGTTTTAACTATTATTAGCTTATGGTGTTTGATGAGTTGCGCTGTGATGCCAAAGATCTACTAATTTAAAATGGTAAAATACTTAATTAACTGGCATCTTGATTATTTGAAATGAATGTGTAATCTATGAATTCAAGGAGTTTTTCCAGGTGTTTCTTACAGGCACAAGAGGGTTAATAACTATACATGTATGGTTAAGCAATATCACTCACAGACATAACTGAGAGAATTTACACAAAACGCTGACATCAGACAATTAACTAGTGAAGGATACAGGTCATTAAAAACTAATTTATTATTATTAGTTTATATTAAACCAAATGTAAAACTAATATTTTGTTTCTTCGAAAGGTAAAGCCTTTTGTCAATCAATTTCTATATGTATGCTGCCCTCTAGCGGCGAACACCGGAACAACGTATTTAAAATGCACACATTGTTTTCCATGAATTGCAGCGTTCCGGTAAATTTTAACCTACATTTTGCAACTACGTCAGCCTAACGTATTACACCTTTTGCACGAGAAGTGTCAATATGCCGTAGGTATTGAAAACACTAGTTAATTTAGAGACTAAAGGTTGACGCATTTTAATCTATGTTCGGTGAGACATCGTGTGTTTATCGTGTATACCAGGAACTGTTTACAGGTATTGCTTTAGTTATTACTATGTTTTTTTTACAGCTTTGAGCACCTGTTTGTTGAACATTATCTTCCAGCCCTACTATTCTGCTCTTCTTGTTTTTTTTACAACGGATATCATCAGCATGACGACTTCCTTAGCAACCTAGCGTGTCCATAGCAACAATTGGAGCTAACAGGCGGAATAATGGCAAATATTATCTGTTCCAAAAAATCACTTTGGCAACAAGTGTGTGAAGGTAAGCCAACCATGTTTTATTTGTTCAAACCTCCTGTCGTGTTCTGGTCAAATCTGACCGATTTACTCCTTTCATCAATCATAAATATTGTGTTTTACATGTTGTTGCTTCCAGACCTCATGCTATTCTCCACAGCAGGCAGTTGAACATATTTGCTGATCACCACTTGTCTTTTTTAGTGGTTTAGTCAACTTTGTGACACCTTCGATGTTCCTAGTCATAGGAAATGATTAGACCTATCCCTAGATTATTTTTATCCATCAGATACACACCAACAAATCGACAACCATGTTCATTTTGCAACACATTTGAAGTGTTTCTTCTTTGTATATTTACTGCAGTTATTCATGCAAACCAGTAGTCTGAGACATTGTTCACAGCTTAAAAGGGTGTTAGAAAAAAATGAGGTGATAGGTGCAATCTGAAAAACAGACTGGTCAAATTGAACCAGGAGTAAGGGGGGAGAATCAAAGCTTCTTTTTTTTTATGTAAATGGTGTTAAATGATGGCATATGTTTTGTGTTTTTGTAGAGTTTGAAGCCGAGCTTCCCAGTCCTCCCAGTGCTGTGTGGACAGAAAGCAGCTCAGGGACAAACCTCTCCCAGTACAGCACCAGTAAACCCTCCCCGGTCTTCTGTGGACTCCCCACAGCCAAGGTCAGCTCGCCCTTTAGTTTCTTCATCTCTGTGGCTGACTAGTTTACATCCTGTCACACTGGCATCCTCTGAACTGAATTGGTTTCAATAGGTGTGTGTGGACGATGACCCTCTCAGAGACTTTGACTCTCTGCTTTGCCACCCTGCTCTTCCTGGCTACTCTGTGTTAGGAAAACCTTGTCTTTCAAAAATGAAGCGTCCCCCTCCCCCTGCAGCTGAAGCTATGATGCCTCCACAACTACATAAAAGTAAGATGACGATCAAATCAAACTTGTTTTGTTTAGCATTTTTCAAAACAGTTACAAAGATATACATACAAGAATAAAAAACAAGAAAGAACACCCCAATAAAACCGTAAGGTAAAAGGAGGTAAAGGAGAAGTTATGAAAGAGGGATTAAAACCAGACTGCACAGGGAGAAAAACACTGTAACTGATCCAGCTTTTCCCTGCAGAGTGCAACAGACATTTAGTTTTGTATAAATGTGTGTGTGTGTCAGGTCCTGTCACACACTTTTTGGAGCGGAGAGTGTTTCCGGTGTTATTGCCTGGACTGGAAGCTTTGCTGACAGAAGCACGGAAGCATGGCTGTCTGGAGGTCTGTGTTTATCTTTGATAAATATTTTACCACAAATTAGTTTAATTAAAACTTGGGCAACAAATGATGAATATGTTTGATTGCATTGTCTCTTAGAATAGATATGGTAAAATGGACATCATTTCCTCAAGCACTGTGCAGTTTTTAGGAACCTGTATTTTAAATGTTTAAATGTTCTGCTAGTTTATTCTTTAAACTTTCCACTGCCAATCAGTTGGCAATATTGCAGTTTTTACTTCACCACATTTATTTTACAGCTGTAGTTGGTATTTTATTTGCTAATTAAAAACAAAGTAGTCTTAAATACTACTTCTGCATGGTGCATGGCATCTATCACTTTCTTTTGTGTTGCAGAGGGAAAGAACAGCATTTAACCCGTGTGACTTCCTGACTGAGTGGCTCTACAAGTAAGAGACAACATACACACACCCTCAATGTTTATATTATTTTCACTCATGTATTTCATCATTTTGATTGGGTTTCATGTTTGTTTTGTGGTCCTTTGCCTCTCCTCAGTCAAAACCCCCGCAGGCGAGAACAGGTTCCAGTGAACTTCCACGACATCCCCTTTGTGAAGGACTGGATTAAAACAAAGTGAGTGTCTTCCAAACCACACACACACACACACGCACACATACACTACAGTTGTAACCTCCAAATGTATTGTTTTTTCAAGAAATTATAGACATTCTTTGGCCTTTTTTTTTGTTCCATTGTTACCAGTTTGATATATGGCTAAAGTATAAAGCAAACAATAATTTCAAGATAAATAATTATGTGAACACTATATATAAGGTAAGACAAACATGCTCATTCAACAATGATACATGCTATATGTTCTAATGATTTTCAATTGTTTTATCTTCAGTCCCAGGCCTCCTGTCCCTCTGTTTCTCCTGCTGAGCGAGGATCAGGCTGCTCTGCTCATCCAGGCTTTCTGGAGGGGATACAAGGTACACTATAAAATAACTTGATATAGCAATGCACTCAAAAGACTGGGAAAAATATCCCATAACTTGACATATTTATACTTAACCTCAGTGGTTCCTGTTTTCGCTTACCAACTCTAATTAATAAAATAAACTTTTAAAAACAAGGGACATTTTAATTTAGAAGTAGAAAGCTTGAAGCCTGCAATAACTCCATACACCACAGCAAGTCTGCTGCTTGCCTGTGTAAGTGTGTGGGTCTGTTCTCCTGACAAACAATAGGCACTATACTGCATGTGCATTGGCCAACAGTGCGTTCTTGTTGTATAATCCCATCCTGCTGAAAGGCTCCGCTTGCACAGGGATTGCAATTTCATTCAGCAGCTTGATTATGTCATCAGCGATGCTGGGATTTATTTCCTTCCTGTGTGGGTGTCGTGGTCTGAGTACTCTGTGCTGTGATATAAATAGACACAAACAGAAACTACCAGAGGCAAACGGCAGCAATTTCTTCACACTCGTACACAAATAAACCAAGTATTGTGTGCTGTAGGGATGAAAGCAGGGGTCATGTTTCTCTATCTCTACAGAAGCTTATTTTTCATGTTCTACCCTTCGTGCTTGTTGGAGGATTGAGCTTTAACGTTTCTGCACAAACCATTGAGAGGAAAAGATGCCAGCTGTGCTGTCACATATTATTACATTCTGTTTGAGTGATCTGAACAGTTTTGCATGGTGTGTTTGAGGGTATGCGCACGAAAGATGTATTGAATGTGTGTGTGCATGCGTCCATGTTTGGGTACTTGCACACCAGTAGGGGGCAACACTTCCTCTTCTGTTTCTGTAACAGAAAAAAAGCTAAATAAATCGTACTGGTCTCTGCTCACATTAGGTGGCAGCAGTGCACCGGCCCCCTTTCCCTGCTCACTGTGTTTACCCTAAACCAAAGAGAGGTTCAGTGGGGCCGCTGATAACACTGCAGCTCAGCACCCAAGGGATTTAGAGGGAGAGACACAGCCAGGAGGAGAGAAAAAGTGAGAGAATGGGAGGATATATCCAAAAGGATGAAGCTCAGGCTATATTAGGAACATTTTCAGATGGACAACAAAAGAGAGAAGAGAGGCAAGATGATGTTTCAGAGTGGATTAGGAATGGGGTATGGATGAGGGAAATGCAGCTTTAGCTAAATCTGTGGCGGCTAAAAGTAGGCAGAGAGATGGAGCCTCTGGGAAGCGCAGGGAGGCTGTGAACGCAGCACATTCAGGGTCTGAAATGAGGGTTTGCTCCTTCAGATCATGACTTATTCAAAGTACACAGGGTGGAGATATTTTGGGTAGGCACTGGGGCGAAGTCCTGACAAGCGTTGTAGTGTTACATTGCTGCTGTTACCTTGGCTTGAGAAAACAGCAGTTTACAGCTCAGTGGGCAGCAGAGCAGAGGACATCAGCACAAAAAGTCATCTGTGAAACACCGGTGTAAAAGTTATTAGTTCCTTTGTTTCGAACACCTTTTGTGTGTGTCTGCTAGTGCCAACCCTAATCTTCTGATCATATCAAAATATTGTCTCACAGATTGGATTTTAAGTGAACAATACAGGCTATATTTCATCATAATCTCTCCTAATTTGTAAGGTCTTGAGATATTTTGAGGTTTTAATAGGAGTGTAATAGGATTATGAGATTTTGCTGTAGAACAACACTAAAAAACATGACTCAATCATTAATAAGTTTTCTGTGTGTTTTTTTAAATATTACACAAAATATTGTAACATAAAGATATCTAATGTTATGATTAGCACATCTCTACTTCCATTAAAATACCCTTCTCCACCCCATCCCCTCCACACACCCTCTTATTTCCCCCCACTCTTACACTCTCTGCCGTTATATAACCTGCCTGACGCAAGGCTGACTGCAGAGGGTGTGTGTGCGTGTGAATCCATGGGAGTGTGCGTGTGTATTCATGGGAGTGTGCATGTGTGTGGGAGTCTGCGTGTGAATCCATGGGAGTGTGCGTGTGTATTAATGGGAGTGTGTGTGTGTGTGGGAGTGTGCGTGTGTATTCATGGGAGTGTGCGTGTGTGTGGGAGTGTGCATGTGTATTCATGGGAGTGTGTGTTTGTGAGAAAGATAGACAGTAAGACCGAGGCCCACAAAGCAGGGGAGGGGGTATATGTGAAATTAGTAATTGCATCAGTCCGTTATGAATCTATTTTATAAAAACAGATTTGGGAGTGAAGAAGAGCAGCGATAGAGATAGTGCACATGCACACACACACACGCACACACACACCACTAAATCACGTGTCTGACCTAGACAATACGACTGTCTCTTGTTTCTCACATGTACATCTATGAAGAGCTGCTGGATCTAAACATATTACATAATCTTCTTCACACTGTGTGCATTAGCTCAACACTAATCCATTCATCCTTGCCTGCTACTGCACACATATGCACACACACTCAAACACGTCTCTCACTCACACACACACACACACACACACACACGCGCACACACACACTCGGTTGATCACTCTCAGGCTCTCTCAGGTCTGGTCTAATGTGGCTGCTGTGTAATAAATAGGCATTACAATTAGGCTGTCAGTATTAATGCTGTGTGGTCAGGTAGAGAGGCAAGCTTTTATCATAATCATATCCTGCCCACAGCCCTGTCTAACCTCACCAAGAATACTACATTCTGGTTAAAGTGTTTTTTGTTTCAGTACATGATTTGATTTCAGGTTTGTTACTAAATTATTTGATTGTTTAAAAATGTTAACGGAATAGTACAACATTTAATAAAATATGCTTGTTTGATTTCTGGCAGAGAGGTAGACGAGAAGATCGATGCCACTCTCCGGTAAATACAAAGCTGATTACAGGAAATGGAGAGAAATGGCAAGCTGGCTCTGTCCAAATAACAAAGTGTAATCGTGACAATTCACATTAACGTACACTAGAGATGAGTGTTACCAATCTTTTCATCTTACTCTCCAAAAAAACGAACCAAATAAGGATACATTGCCAAAATGTTGAACTACTGCTGTAAAATCTTCAGTAGTTTGATTGTCACGGTCATTGGTTTTTGAGTTGTTGAAGAAGCATTGTTTCTGGTTAAAGTCGCAGGAACCCTAATGTAGTGTCTGAAGTGGGGGGGTTTATGAGAGGACTATTGGCCAATGTTATTATCATTTATTAAGTACACTTCAATACATATTTTGTTAAGGTCCCAAATTGTCTTCTAGAGCTAGTAAGCCCAGATATTGTCTAAAAGTAGGACACTGAGTATTGAATTTATTCCACATGACATCAACTAATAGAGCAGAACACACACACACGCGCACAAACACACACAGCCAGAACTAGGTCTTCGATTCCAGCTGAATGATCCCAGAGCAGTGATAGATGAATGGTTTGAATTGAGGTCCAGTGTTAAGTCAGTGCTTGGCCACGTGCAGTGACACAGAAAATATGTCATTCTAGTAGCCGTTTGTTCTGTTTGTCCTTACCTCCCCCTCCTACCGAAGGGCTGTAGGGGCCCGCTGCCCCTGAATGTGATGGGCTGATCATAACACGAAAGGCCAATTCCTATTCCTGTAATGTCCACTATCATCCGTAATACATAACGTTGTTTAGGTCTTGTTCTTACAAACGGTTGATTTACAGTGCAACCACTTCCTTTGCCTGAAGCATGAATCATTCACAGGTTCCTCCGCTGGGTAAACCATCATCATCGTCAAACAAAAAGATGATGGATCGGTGGGTGGATGGGGGGTGAGGTGAAGATGTAGATGGCTGTGGTGGCTGTGTCCGTCTTTATGCAGCCTGTCAGTGTGTCTGGTGATGTGACCGCAGCCAGTTCCTCTGAACAGAAGCCATTGTGCTGCTGCAGAGTGTGAGACTGGGAGAGGAGCTCGCTCTCACAGGCACATTTGCACAAAAAGGGAATGCAGCTTGAAAGGCTGTGCAGCGGTATTGAAGTGTGTGAGAAAAAGGGCATGGGGTTCACCGTTTGTGACACTGTGTGGTTCAACGCAGTTTTATGGTTATGTGTTGAGTGTGGGCTGCTGGCTTTGGGAGATAGGAGAAGATGGAGTCCCTATTTTTAGTGTTTTTTGCTTTTGTGTCATCAACACGTGTGTTTTTATGTGGTTATGCAGGCAGGCTTGCAATGCTTTACAATTTGTTCAAATCACTCTGATCCCAAACCATCATGCATACAAGCATCAGTGTCGTGTGCAGCGACGTTGATCATCATAGCAACACGATACTGTATTATGGTAGATTAATTAATGCTTCAAACCAGGAAGAATACATTAGAAAATCAATTAATTTGGTGTAATCAGCTGTACTGATGCATGCATAGGCTTCAAACGCTCAAGCACTCAGTTTTTTGTCTCGTGCCATCACAAGGAAACTGGCAAACTCGTGTAGAAAGCATGTATTTGAAAAGTCAGCTTTCTAAGAACGTTGACTTTAAATGTTGTCTTTGTTTGTGTGGCACATTGCAAAATCTTTATGTCCTGGGGACTCGCGCTGTGAAAATGTTCCATTGTTCAGTAGCTGACGGCAACAGAAGAAGAAATGGTGGTACAAGGTTTCTGCGGGGCACAGATGAAGACTGACAGAGTAGAAATGGCCACACAGAAACAAATGGACGCACACAAACGATGGTGAGCAAACACGACAGACTCCAACCCCCACCCCTCCTGACCCTCACCCTTCATTTCCATTTCTATGGTTCGCTCCCATCAGCAGAGGGGCTGCTGCGGCACTGTGACACCCGGTGAATGAACTGTTGGAGCCCACTCGTCTTACCCATTCCTGAACCCATCGACAGGCTTATATAACAGGCCCACTTTCATACCCACTGCTAATAGCATCAACATTGTGGCCATTCAAGCAGCAAAATGGAAAGATAGGAGTAATACAGACAACAAGATGGGAGAGAAAAACAGAGGGGAGAGGAGAGAGATATAACTGAAATGTGCTGGAGAATCAGAGGAAAATAAGGTGTTGGTTTGAGAGATAGTGTCACGTTGAGTATATGGAGACGAAGAAGTCCACCTGCGTACTGAAGAGGAGAGGGAAGACAAGGGGAAGAAGCAGAGTTACTGGGAGGAATGGTTGTAAGTAGAGGAGATAAAGAAAGGAAAGCAAACTCTTCTGAGAAATGTTCTTTTCATCTAACGCAGTAAGTCTGTTTAGTCATCTCTAAGGAAAGCCAGCAGTGTCCAAACAAACACAATAACTACAGGGGTTTCCCCAAAGCATGGGAACTCCCATTGGAGAATTCGGATTAAAACATTTTACAAATCAAATTATGAAAATCAGGCAAACAAAAGTATAGATACAAAAGATTAAAAAACACAAGATAAAAAGACAATTATACATATTGTAGAAAACAAGACATAAGTCTGTATAAAAGCTTCTTTAAAAAGATGATTTTTGAAAAGGAATTTAAAGTTGTTTCTGATTCTGTTTCCTGACATAAGCTGACAACTGAAATGATGACTGAGCATATCATGTTTACGTTTTTCACCCCTACTATTTTTTGCGAACAGTAGGATATGAAGTTAGGGATAAGCATGTCTGCTGCACAGATGTGACCTGAAAATAGCAAAGTACATAGTAGTGCCGTCCCAATATCAGATTTACAACACAAATATATAATTATATCATTTACATTCACCCTTTACTTTGTTTTGTGTGAACTGAAAGAAACCAAAATGATTTAAGAGTTGCTCGTTTGTTTTGTAGTTGTTATAATTACCATGTGTATTTTTGAACATGATGGAGGGTGGAGGTTGTGGTGTTCACATTTACAGTAAATGAGCCACTTTAACATCCATACAGGAACAGAAGGATTTATTAACGAACTAACACTTCTAATGGAAAACACTGTACTCACACTGATTAGCCTAATTAACTTATTGGCAAAGTTTGCTTATGTCAATTTGTTGTTTGTTTGTTATAGATTAGGTCACGCCCAGATGTGCAGGAGCTGCGCCAGTGGCAGAAAGAACTGAGAGAGAACCGTGACATCGCCAAAACTGTCGCGCAGTTCTGGGCCCAACGAGAGAGCCGAGGTAAGAGCGAACACACACACACACACAAACACACACACACTCACACGGTATCACTGAATGCCAGGCTCTCAGGCAACACAATACTATTGATCTTTTATTTTCCCATGGTGCCAAACAGCTGTTGATAGGCAGGCAGGATGCCAGAACACGTCAGAATCCACACAGACAGGCTTTAAAGCAATAGATATTACCCCATACAGCACTATACACAGTATACACAGTATACACAGTATACACAGACACGTATATCAGCTGGTGCACAGTACAGTCTCAAGCACTCGCACGTATAAACTGCAGATACAGTATTCATCCAAACGAGACTTTGAAGTTAAAGCAGAGCGATAAGGAGAGCAGTGACACAGAGAGAGAGAATGAGGGCAGAGAATAAGAAGGAGACGGGGAGAGTGAGTCGCAGAAAGACTGAGAAGATTGAAAGTGAAGTAGAGAAAAGCAAATGTCTGCAGGGCGCAGGGTGTGTGTGAGTGATGGAGAGATAGAGGATACAGGACATGTGAAGAATTAGAGGAGATACAGACAGAGCAAAGAGGGATCAAGATGAAGACAGAGATGTGGTGTGTGTGTGTGTGTGTGTGTGTGTGTGTGTGTGTGTGTGTGTGTGTGTGTGTGTGTGTGTGTGTGTGTGTGTGTGTGTGTGTGTGTGGGTGTGTGTGTGTGGTGTGTGTGTGTGTGTGTGTGTGTGTGTGTGTGTGTGTGTGTGTGGTGTGTGTGTGTGTGTGTGTGTGTGTGTGTGTGTGTGTGTGTGTGTGTGTGTGTGTGTGTGTGTGTGTGTGTGTGTGTGTGTGTGTGTGTGTGTGTGTGTGTGTGTGTGTGTGTGTGTGTGTGGTATGCACACATGAAGGACAAAGCAGAGCAGCTGAGAATGCAGGCCCATGTCCAGTTTGACTGAAGAGTGATTTATCTTTGACCTTGTATACACACACACACACAAACACACACTTTGGTACACTGTACACATGATTGCCATCAGAAAGTCCTCCTCCTGATTCTTGAGGTTAACAGATACTGTTTTGATGCTGATTTTAGCTCGAAGGATGGCATTGTGGGTCAAGCACTTGGAAATATCTTAACAACTATTGGATGGATGTGATTAAATGTTTTTGCCTCAAGCACCACAATGAGGTTTGATTTATGACTAACACCGGCAAAAGGAATGACATTTCCCTCAGCTGTACTTTGTGGTTTGTGCTAATTAGCTAATGTTAACATACTCCGCTTAAAGGATGAACATGGTCAACGTTATACCTCTTAAACATGAATATACTGTATAAGCATATAATGCTAGCATTAGCATTGCTAACATGTTTTCCACACATGCCATCTATTGTAACAATGTAACTCCATGTGTTCTGAAAGTGCATGAAAACTAGTTAGCAAGTGGACTTCTCCAGCCGAGCAATTACACTATGAGAGGGAGCAGAGTGGCTCAAACAGCAAAGTTGTGGGCCATACAAACCAACACACATATTGAAAAACAACAAACTCCATGTAGAGTTGTAAACTTGTTTTATCTTACTTTTGTTACATGACATAGAAACTTAATTAATTTCCGATAGGTAAGTTATGTTACAAACATACTTGTTTAAACCCAAACCCTGATCTTTTTGTTTATCTGACCAAGTAGTATTGCTGCCAAAACTCTGCACTTCACTGCAACGCTCGAGAATGGGAATGCACAAAAAATAACAATATAAGGTAATAGTTGTAAGATATCACACGACCAGTTGTATGAGGAATTGTGATGTAAACCGAGTGGGACTGTACTCTGGTGTTAATACTTTGAGAGTTTGCCACTACCAGAAACAACGTTCACACTAAAGTTGTTATATGACTCGTGCATCCAAAAATATTTATTAAGGGTGCTTCAAATGAATGTGCATACAGCCTAGAGGATGATGAACAGACACTCCAACCTGCACACTAACGCCATGTGTCGCTATCAGCACCTCTGTTTTTGTCACCCACAAACAATGACACCGCCATAAACACAGGTTTCTTCCACGCTGACACATTCCTCACAACAAAGGCGCTCTCTGCACTGCTGCGCTGTGCTGCTGCCGCTTACTGAGCTATGTCCTGCTGCACCACTGCTGCTGACCTTACATTTTTGCAGGGGGCCTGGGGATGTTTGTGTTTGTAAGAGAATGTATGAGTTGAAAAGAGAGTCTGCCCAGACCGTCGTGAACAGAACTGATCCCTTCAACAGAATCTGAAATGGATGAGAGAAAGAAATAGAAATGTGTGAGCTAGCGGAGGAATTTGGTGCTGAAGTTGCAGTTTGTTTGCTGGTTTTGCCTGTTGTTGTTTGTAATGATGCAAGCACTACCCCTCAGCACTGAGATGATATGACCCATGTTTGGGATGGAGGCTGTGGTACATGGGGGGTGAGTGAGTGAGTGAGAGAATTATTTACTGTATAGATGTTCTTTAAGTCGATATAGCAACAGCTGCACTCGTCTCATTTGACCCGAGGAGACCAGCAAGCGATACCTCTTCTGTCATTTCACATTTCACAGTCTGTAATCAGAATTAGTCAGAGACAGAAAGGAAAACAAAAGGGGGAAAGAGCAAAGTAACCCAGAGAGCAGACACATGGTGAGACCTCAAGGTCGGAGGTCACGGCTCATTGGGCAGGTGCAGCTCTCAACAACTCATGAATCACTGAATGACTGTCCTTGACTTGAAGCCTGACGTACCATCAGTCCTAGCTAACAGAGTTGTTAGCTAGCAGAGTATTTAGCCAGCCTCTGAAATCCCCTTTTTACCTCTTGGTAAAAGTTATAATTTCAAGGTCCCCTATTAAACTATTTTTCATCAATATATTATAGCTCTCAGATATATACAAAACATGTCTCTGAAGTGTTTTGCTCAAAATACCAAACAGATCATGCATTGTAGCATCCCATAATCCTCTCTGTTTCAGCCCTGTTTCAAAAGTGCTGATTCTCTGTCTGTTACTATAGATGAAAATAAGGAGCCACTCCCAACGCCCCTCTGCGAGATATTTGGTTAAAAAAAACACAATGATCCAGTAGGAGGAGATTCAGGTGATAAGGGGGGGGGGGGTTACCTTGTTGGTTATTGGCTAATGGTTACATAAGACAAAAAACCTTTATGACATCATAAAGTGGCTAAAATCTGATCAGCTCATTTTCAGACAGGTTTTTAATGGATCAGGACAAAAAGTGAGCGAATCTTTTTTCCTGAAACGTTCAGAATCTCTTTGCACAGAGGGGACACATGTTTATTTATAAAAGACATGAAAAAGTGGATTTTGCATAACAGGTTAATGTTAATAATAATAAAATTACAGTTATATTAATGTTCCAGTTACATTTTACCTTTGCATTTTTCAGTAACTAATATTTGTTATGCCTTCACACACCAGAGTATTGTACTTAATAAAGAAAAGAGGCTTACAGTACAATTAGATTTCTAAAAATAGTGGTGTAAACCATTCATGATGCTATTAAGCCGTGATATAAGCACAGTGCAGAGCGGCGGCCATTAGCGCGACCAGTTGGGAACTTGGAGAGACTCGCATGCACTCTTCTTATGGGCTGCACACTCGCAACGTCAATGTAAACAAAGCACAATAACTCAAAATACCCCACACACAGGTAGCCATTGCTCCACGGTGTCTTTACATGTGTTTATGGAACCTTTAAGGATGCATTTCTTCTTTGTCTCCAGTTGGCTCTGCAATGACAAATCTTCCGGGAAGCCCCCAGCCCGGCGACTCAGATGTGTCCATCCAGGTGGTTTCCCCCACCCCGCAGAGCACCGTGGTCCACACCCCCACCCCCCAGATGACCCCTGATGGCATCGAGTGGCTGACCCCCAGCCTGCGCGGTGCGGAGAAGATGGCCTCCTCAACAGTGACCGATTTCCTGGCTGTGTCCATGCATGGTGAAAAATCCCTGACTGCACCTCCCTTTAACTAGAAACATGAACAACGTGGACTGGTGGCATTGTTAACTGAAATGATTAGCTCTGTGAACAAGGCTTTCCTGGTGATTAAAAGCTATAAACCTCTGTTAGGCTGACGTCAAACCGAGCGAAGTGATCATTGAAACAAGCCATTAAAAAACGACTGTAACCAATTGGACACACTGTGCAGAGATTTATGGTCAGAGGTTCGTGTCTAATTAGTTGATTGCTTTCATTGCCTTTTCGATGGATCACTTCCATTCACAAGTTGTTTTAACAGATTAACCACATGTAGTACGGTTCACATATTATTACGGTCGGGAGAGAAGTCTCTTGTAACAGACTTCATATTGTGTCCCAGCACCTCTAGCTGATAGCTCACTGGAAGATAATCACATAGCATTTCCTTGACTTGTCATTTCCTTTTTCATTTGCAATACATAAAACTGCACAAAAGAAGTTATAGCGTTTCCATTCAAGCCAGGAATTGAGGCCAGAGTGAAAGGTGAGTCAGTGTTTAGAGCAGCACTTTTCTATCCTGTTTATCAGGAAAGGAAATGACCCTGTCAGGGAAACGGAGAATAAAAAAAAGAGGGTGGGCGATTGACAGTTGTCGTACAGAGCAGATAGTCCTTACTGTTTCACAAGCAATAATTGCCCTGTTTTTTATCTCCTGACACACCTCTAACACCTCTGGTTTTAATTAGTTTATTTGTTTTTCTAGATGTAGCTAAAGGTTAAACATTTAGCATTTTGCCACTGATGACGCCATCACCTTTAGCAGACCTTTTTTATCCCTGGTAGCATTCAAACGCCATCTTAAATGTCACATATGAGCCATGGAAAGTTCATGAAATCCGATTAGAATAAAAATTCAGGATGAAAAAGACTGCTGCTCAACTGCATTTTTTAAATCTCCTTCATGGCAACTTAAAAGGCATTTTTTGACACACATCAGGAGGAGACATTATAATCTGATGAGTGAACAAAGTGCACTCCTGGCATATTTCCATCATGCACCTGAGAGGATACTTGTGGCTTCCCCTCCAGTGTCTCTGCAGAGCAGCGAGGCGGTGACCTCCTGATGGACGGATTTCCTGACCATCCCAGTCACTGATGCACACCGCCTCACACCGAGGCATGAGGAGGGTCATGTATCTCCCTCTGCAGGTATGTGGATGCCTGGGAGACAGCTGCCTCTGGGTAAAGTGATAAAACAGTCCATTTCATTCTGGGGTTATCTGATAGTGCAGCCAGCTCCAAGGAGTCTGGCAGCACTTTGCCCGACTGAAACTGGATCACACAGCAGCAGGAGGGATCGGGCACCAGACTGTCAGAGCCTGGAAACAACTGAAAACAACTGGCTCCGGGCTGCCATTTCTGGCTTTAGGTGGAAGCGTAGAATGAAACGTAGTTACACACAGTGTATTCCTGAGTGGGCTTAAAATGTATACACTGATTAGAGCTGCAAAGATTATTCAACTAATCAGTTGTTGGATGACAGAAAAAAATATGACTGCTTTGACAATCGATACCTGCTTTTTCTCTATTATTATAAACTAAAAACATTAAAGTTGTGCCCCAGACAGCTAAACAACGAGCTAGACCTCACTTTTAAGCCGAGGAGAGCTGCAGATTCAGGCGATGATTCGCTCTCCTCTCACATTTCAACTGGCTTATATGAAACATATTTATTATGGCAGCTTCAAAGAAAATGTTTGACATGTTTTAGGGAAATGTGTTTATTACTTACTGTTCTACTGAGAGTCAGTGATATTTTATTACTTATATTATTGAATTTTGATAACATTCGAATTGTTGACAGTGGTTTCAACTTTCTCATTTAAGCTCTAACTGTTAGTAAAAGTAAAAGTATTTCATAAATACATGACTTATCCCTTAAATATTAAACGATGACATTTATTTATTTTTAAATCTTTAAAGGACTTTTGTTTGGATGTTTCATTTATGTATGGGGGTTTTGATTTAAAAATGAATAAATACAATGTTTTTTTATGACATGGTTTATCCAACATGGAGCACTGCCAAATTCATTGACCACCTTGTTCTTTTAATAACATAAATAACACATCTTTAGCAAAAAAATGCATTTGGATTTCTTTAGAAAAAACAAATATGTGACGATTTGTTTACTGTATCACTCTCATTTGAGCTCTTTTTCCACACTGTTCATAATTATCATATATGGCAACACATAAACACCTGGAAAAGAAAAAAAAACACAACAGCCAGTTAAAAGTTAACTACAAACATGACACTTTTATTGAACTTATTTTTTTCCTGATTCAATTACAGAAACAAGTTAACTGTTTTTTTTTTCTAATTAGAGGAATCAAGTTCTATACATAGGCATGCTGCGTCACCGCACAGTCACAGCTGTGAAAACCAATATCACCCCTGTCAGCTGCCCCGCTGGAACAGTCTGAAGGCAAGACAAATCAGGAGAGGACAGGCAAGGACAAGTCAAACCCAGGATGAGTGTTCAGTGGGCTGCCCAGGGATGACAAACTTAACATATAGAGGTTTTGTGCAAATTTCACCACAGTCTATTTGATTTTAAACACAGAGACGATACCAGTCAGAAGATTCTCTTTTTTTCCCCCTCTAGACTTCAAACTAACAAGGAAGTTATTATTAGGTCCAGTAGAGATGGCATTTTGTTCCTTTTGGGGGAATCATACTATTTTGGACCATTTCCCCTGACTTTAATCTTTTTGCTTCTCAAGAGCCAGCTCTCTTTAGTGTTTAAGAAAGCACAGACATTAAATGTGTCATCTGATATACACTGAAATTATGATTGCTGTCACATGACCTTTACATAAATAGAGTTAGTATTCAAAAGTACGTCTGAGAAAGGTCTTACATGTAGAAATGGTGATAAGCATGCACAGATAGGTAGTCGACAAGTGCAAAATCTACAAAGTCACATGGTATTATTGTTTTTTTTTGTTTTTTTTGTACTCCACATTGAGTGAAAACAACAAGAACTAACACCTCCCCCCTCCGCTCTTAATGTTGAGAGTTTTATCTTGTTACTGCTGACCATCCAAAACCCTGAGGATAGTTCTTCTTCATGAGCTAAGACGCAGGGTGGGCCCGAACAGAGCCTGAAGGAGCAGGACACGCTCTCTTTGGGCATGGAGCTGGCCTGCTGGGACCAATCCCATTTTAGAATAGCCAGTGGGTAAGACCTAGCCTACAGCAGCAGTCTGGGGTGTACCCTTTGGCTTTTCCTAGTCGAGGGTTGATCTACTGTAACACCAAGGGTCACCAAATTAGATTTTTCAGCACCCTTTTTTTTATTGATTATCCTCAACATATTCATATTGCAGAATAAGTCATTGTTTACTGCATGAAGTGCCAAAAATATTCACAGCCATAGTCATTTTTCTAAAAAAAATAAGTATGTTTATATCCCTGTAACTGTTACAGTGAAGAGAGGACTTGACTGAGAATATTGCAGGAGGTACAACTGACATAAATCCCTTTATATGACAACTCATCATTTCCATGAACATTAATTAAACAAAAAATAAAGCATATCTATTTTATGGCAAAATATTTCCAAAATGCTAGCTTTTAAAAAGACACCAGCAAGAGAGAAATCAAAGCATATAGTGAAACAACAACCAAATGTATGAACAACTAAGCAAACCAGTTTTAAAAAAAATACCTCAGATAAAAAAAGGTTTGCAGTAGTCAGTTCTCAAGGGGTCACATGACACTGGTGTCTAAACTTAGGCTACAGTTATAATGTAATGAAAAGAAAAAGTAAACAAGCAAGCAAAGCTTTGCAGCACTACTATGTACACAGCGTCTCTGGTGAAGAGAGAGAGCCGGTGTCGTGATGAAGGAAAGGGCGTGAAACGAAGACTCCGGTGAAACCAGAGTCCTTCTTGGCACGGGGCTACACTCGAACTATAGCCGACCACAGGGAGACAGGAGGAGGAGGAGGAGGAGGAGACGGAGACGCTTCACCAGATAAAGAAGACAACCACATAGAGCAGAGCAGCATGGTCGCCCGCACAAACACACACAGTCAGACCAGGGAGCCATTTTCTCACACAGATCTTGCAGATGTCGCATAAACTCCCCTCGGACCGTCCTTGCTATCTCCTTCCTCCTCGCTCCCATCCCCCTTCTTCCTATTCTTATATTTGATATCTTTCTCTTTCTACCTTGAACTGTAAATCTGATCTTTCTCAGGCTCTAGGATATCTCCACACACCAGCCACAGCTCCATTTATCCCCCATCACTGACATTTTTGACATCTGCATCAGTGTTGTTCCTGTAGTTTTGTGCCACACTGGGATGTTGTGTGGAGGGATATTTAGCACCAGAAAGCAACCTTGACTTCTTGAAATTCCCCCCTGCCAAACCCGGACACTCATAAAATCATACATACGCACACATAAACACAGATAGAGGAGATTAAGTACAGGGCAACGCTTCACTTCCTCGCTCCGTTTCCTGCTAATATAAAGTGACAGTTTCTCCTGGCTGGTTCAAAAGCGCCAGTGGCCACCGGAGATGTGGGAGAGCAGCACACAGCAGTCTGACCTAGATTCAGGAAGCAGTGCCTCTCCACCAATGACTGACGCCCTCCTCGCCCAATCAGAATCCACGCTACTCCATGTAACACAGTTCAGAAGCAGCTTGCGCCCCCTCTGTTCAGGTGCTTCGGGCTGCTTTAGCCGTGAGCTTGTGTTCGGGCTTTACAGTTTGTTTCACATTTGGCAAAGTGTCCATGCAGGTGGGAGGATGAGGCAAGGGTTAGAAGAGTTACGTGTTGTATTCACAGACAGTGCAGTGAGACCGGAAACGGAGATAGAGAAGGAGGAAGAAGAAGTGTTCACTGAAGGATAACAGCCTGGAGAGGGGAGGTTTATCGGAGCGGTGGAGTTGAGATGTAGGGAATACACACACTCTTGTTCCTCTCATACACTCCACATACACACCCACAGAGGCTAAATTATTTGAAAGCAGGTGGTGCTCGAGCTGTACAGTTGCCCATGTGCTCTGTCTTAACCTACACTGTGGATGAATGGAGGACAGGGCCAAATGTTTCCACGTGAGCGCCAGCATTTTGAGGAGCAGCAGAAAAGACATCCTGACTGACAGGAAGAGAGAGAGAGAGAGAGAGCAGGAAAAGGCGCTAGATTTCACAGTTTTTCAAGGATGCTTACAGTGCTGTATAGTCTCAGTAGAGCAAATCAAAGAAAAAGAATACTGCATGTTGATATTTTCAAATCTAAGTCAGCGTGTGCGTTTTGCTACTTGCTGCCACATTTCAAGTTTCTGAACCCTTCTATGGAGATTTGTGTGCTGGAAGAGCTTTAGCTCTGTCCTCCATACCCTGCTATTTCTCAGTCTCACACACACTCATACAACAGTAAAATGGCACGCAGTCAGTGTTTAAGTCTGTACACAGAGGGAAAGGGCCCTGTAGGAATCCAATTCAACCAGTCGGGGCCCCTCATCCAGGACCCCTCCCTCCTCACCCTCTCCACCCTCCTCTTCATTTTCTACCAAACATCTTCTTTCGGATCCTCTCCCTCACCACAGCTGCCTCCCCGTGTAGGTAGGAGGGGCAGAGGGCACCTGTGGAGGGAAACATTCAGTTTGTAAATGAAACAATATTTGTAATGTATTCACAATCACATAATGCATCTTAACCCACACATGCACGCACATTTTATTCATGCTTCCACACATACTTTCCTACAAACTCGGTTTAGGCTAATTAATAGATAAGAAGACCCATACCTCTCTTAATGTTAGTATGCTGAATATAAACAGCTGGTTAGCTTAGCTTAGCTCAGCACAAAGACCAGAAACTGTGTGTGCTAGGTGTTTATTGTTACTTGTGGACAGAGCTGGGTTTTCTGTTTAAAGCTACTTTCGTGCTTTGTGCCAAGCTAGGTATTTATCTTGTCATCTAACCCAACTCAATGTAACACGATTAGACTTTTATTCACCGTGGATCCTACACTCTCTTCTATTTTATTATCTGCTTCAATCTTTTAAATGTCCATTAGATTTTTAAATTGCTACTTTAAAAGCTGGATTTCTCATTAAATATATGTTATGCCTTATGCAGAGCACTTCCCTTTTAGTAGAAAGCATGCTATATAGTTAAATAGACTTTGGAATGAATGAACGAAATGACATTTTATGCAAAGCATCTCGAGGAAAAGTCTTTGTGCTCCCTTTTGTTGCTTAAATGAGATCTGCAATCTCTAGAAATAGTGGCTTCAAATGATCTTTGAGTCAAGAGAGAGTGTTGCTTCAGCATTTTTATCCATCAGTGGTGTGTTCTGCTGTTGTCCTTCATTTATTATACCGTGACTAGAAATAAGTTCATCTGTGCCAGACATAGCGCGCATTCATCCTGCATACCGAAGAGTGTGACAGGCCGGCTGACAGTCGCATCACTCAGTGGACAAACAGCAATGTGGCTTGTTGACACACAAATGGAACCTCTCTCACACTCACCCACACACAATTCAATGTCAGATGAGTGACCATTTGTGACGAAACCGTCCATGCATGTGCTCACAAAATCCATCAAACGCAGGTGCATGGCCATGCATCCGACATTCTGATAATGCACACACACATACTCACACCTTTCCCTCATTCCTGTGCAATGAAGTACGGTCTGGAACGCACAAATGTGCATGCAGTCGTGTCGGCGTGGTCGAATGAGAGAGCGGCGTGTAAGCGGCGTGTACCTGAGACTGGGAGGATGTACTCACCGCTCCCCCGTTCAGGATCATGGTCATCTCGGTGGGTTGGTAGACATTGCTGCGGAAAGGAGCGCTGGGCCTGGGTCCCGTGTTGCTGTTGTGTGGAACTGCGGGACCCCCAGTCCTCAAGCCTGGCATGGAACAGAGGGAGAGGTGAATAGAGATAACTTACTGCGACTCACTTGAAAAAAGAGACACTTGCTGTGTAACCCTGCACCACAAATTCTTCCTCCGGTATCTTTTCTAGCCACGCAAGCAGAAATGTTCTGGTGTTCTATTACTCATTTTGGCCTACATTCAACCTACAGCCTGTCTGCACATATTACACCTGTCCTCTCTCAGATATTAGATTGTACTGTACCTGCAGCGTTCTCATCGCTGTATCCGTAGCCTTGGTTCTCCACAAACTGCCTGTGAGAGAGCGGGATGTCTTCGTCGAAGCTGGTCTCTCTCATTCGTGTTGAGTTCTGGGAGGTGTCAAAGTAATCTGGTGCAGTGGGCTGTGGAGGGGATCTCAGGCAGATGTGGGCTTCAGGAATGGCGTGGAAGATGAGCAGCAGCCAGCCCTGAGCAACCAGAGCAATGGCCAGGGCCGGGTCATTCCACTCTGGGGACCTACCCAGCCATTCAATGCCGTGCAGATAGAAGCCCACCCAGGCCACCCACAGCAGCAGCGACAGCAGGCAGGTCACCACCAGCCAGATGGCATTGCAGCGCCACTGACTTGTCTTCCCGCACAGGGCCAGGCAGGCGGCAGTGAGCGCGGCCAGAAGAAGGGCTAACACGTAGCTGCAGGCTAACGAGAAGTCCATCGGCAGGTACTCACAGGCAGGTCGTCCCTCCCTTAGCACCGTGAGAAGTAGCCACTCGGCGGCGATGATGCCCTGCACGGCGGTCAAACCCAGAGCGAGGCCTGTTAGGGCGCAGCCGCCAGGGCTCCGGCGCTCAAGGCCAATCCTGCGCAAGCGGACGCCCTGCACCAGCAAGCAGGAGAAGCAGAGGGCGAACAGGACACCCCACAGGGCCCTTTGGAGCAAACATAAAGACTCGTCCTGCTCGATCAGGTAAGCAAAGCTCAGGCCGAACAAGCCCAGGATGCCGAGCAGCAGCAGGAGGATGGGCCCGACGCCACTGCGCTTCTCAGCTTCACCGATGGTGTGTAAGCGGCACAGCAGGATCAGGGCTAGCAAGAAGGCCGTCAGCACCCCCCCAGCAGCCACTGCCTCCACCGCCACACCCCATATGGAGTCCAGGTCACAGAGGAGGGTGTATGGACGAACAAGGCCCCAGCCGCAGCCTGTTGGGAGAGCCTCAGAGTCCTCCGAGTCCTGACCGATGGCACGCTGGGCGACAGTCAGAAGAAGCAGGAGGAGGACCGGGAGGAACGCCATCTCTGAGAGACCAGAAGATAGAGGGAGACCAAGAAGGAGAGAGGAGACAAAAGAGGGGAAAGTGAAAGACAATGAGTCATTCTGGTTATAAATGTAACAGAGCTGAGCAGTCAGTCATTCCCACAGTAATCATCTGCATGCGAGTGACAATGCAGACAATCAGCCACGGCTGGGTTTAAGAAGGTAAACAATAGACTTAATGCAGGGTGGAAGCCTATACACACACACACACACACACACACACACACCACACACACACACACACACACACACACACACACACACACACACGTACACACACACGTACACACACACACTCTCACACGGGCACACACACAGAAACACACACACACACACACACACACACACACACACACACACGTACACACACACGTACACACACACACTCTCACACGGGCACACACACAGAAACACACACACATCCTGTTTCATGAGTTGTATCCGATAATCCTGTCATTTGAAAGCTTTCAACTTTTGTTGTTGAAATAAACAACATAGACATGTCAGAAATGAAGCCTAGATAAGATGCCTTCAGTTCCTTCACAGAGAAGTGAGGTTGTGTCCGAGCACCTGCAGTGCTTCTGAAGAGAGTTGCAGATGTATTATTTGTCCAGCTCAAGGCACTGACAGGGAAGCTGCAGCATCATGCATATTTGTATGAACAGAAAACAAGATACAGAGGAGGGAAGTGGTGTGTACAAGCAGTTCTACTCACTATCAGGGATCTCTTGCATGCAGCAAGGCATGAGACAGCGCATAATAAACTGCACACGAATACACAGCGCCTCAAGCACAAGAAAAAACACTTGAGTACTTTTTTTGTGTCCCGGTGTAAAAAACAGCAGCACTCGGTGAGCGAAATCAATGCTGTCTCAGTCTACTTATTCCTTTATTCATCACAACTGTCAGACAGAAGCAGCCACACAACTACACATTCCCTATTTTCATCGAGGTCTGTGCTGGGATGATCAGTGCTGCTGTTTCACCTGACAAGCTGTGTTTTTTGAGAGGTTGAGCAGTGTTTGAAGCCCCCCTTGGAGCCGCACACACATCATTTTGCCAGGTTACTGTCAACTGTCTCGCCACTACATCGCTAAGCCTTCAGAAATACTTTCCAAGTTGCCTCATACATAAGTACGTCAAACAATCTGCTCTTACAAAGAACACACACACTGTTCTAGTTGATTTATGCTTGGAGCTCTACTTTGGATTGTTTATTTCAGGTCTAGTTTTGACATTAAAAATCTCCTGGGGTCCACAAATAGACTGTACCACAATATTTACATACCACATAAAGGACACTGTAAATCCCAGGCGTCATATTCTCTCTCCTTTGCAGTAAGTCAGGGAGAGTTACATAGTCGAGACGGCAGGGGATAGGTAGATTTAAATACACACCAGCCAGAGATACAGGTCACACAGTCCTTCCAGCATGTAGTTAACTAAATGGGCCAGACAGTGAGAAAGCAACAGGCCCCTAGACACTCTGATTGATTTCATCATGAGGAAAATAGGGACAAATGTGAAAGGAATTCTGGTGACTTTGCAGCAAGTATACTAAGACCACCTGCTTTTGATTGTATGATTTGTCCGTTTTCTACTGTTAACAGAAACAGCTACAAGTCTCTTTACCAATCAAGGTTGAGCATATATTGTCATAGATTAAACTGCCCAACAGTTAAGAATGTAAAGATGAAGCGAAACAAAATAAACTACTTACTTGAACAAATGTATCATTTGTAAGTCATTTAAAACCAAATGCATTACATTTCTAGTTCTCCAACTTTTCAAAGGGAATGATTTATTGCATTGTGTGTCTTAAAGGTGGGGTAGGTAAGTTTGAGAAACCGGCTCGAGATACACTTTTTGTTATATTACATGGAATGCTCTTAACATCCCGATAGCAATGAATATCTTAAGTGCTTTGACAAAAAATCCATAAAAAAAATGTCATCTGTGGAAGCAGTAGTACTGTAAAAAGCACGAAGCCGGCCCGGCTAAAATAACTGGATGGCCTACCTGCCTGTCAGCCTTCCATCTGTGCACAAACTTATCTCGTGCCCTCATTGGTCGTGTGCGCGTTCGTGTGTGTTGGAGGAGGGGCTCTGTAAGGAAGTGGCAGATTTTTTCCGGCTGTGTATTTTCAAATTCTCGTGCACTCGAGCTGGTTTCTCCAAAATTATCTACCCCACCTTTAAGGGATAAAAGTCTGAAAAATGTTGAGGTTTTTGACAGTTGGTTAGACAAAAAAAGCATTTAAAAGGTACCACTTGATGCTAATGGCAATTATAGATTTTCTGAAGTAACACAAACCAGACAATTAATGACTAAATCGTGAAAAGTATCTGGATACGAATCCATAACTTCAATAAAAATGTGTTGCAGCCCTGTATTACATTCTTTGAAATAAGCTCAACCAACTCAAACTGTAATAATATTGTGATTATATAACTGTCACAGCCATTTTTCTGCAACGAGTAAAAGAGCTGGACCATCGGCCTCTCTTGTTTTTAAATAACATTATAAGCGAGTTAACTCTTATCTTTTATATTACATTACTTAGCATTTAGCTGACGCTTTTAACCAAAGTGGTGTATTACAATAGTGCAATAAACCATAAAGATATCTTGGATAATTTATGTTCACAGATGGGCTACGGCAATTTTCGATCCCAATTTCCTGCATCGCTGGAACTCATTTTATTTACATGCTTTTGATGCATCCGTCCTAATATTCAAATTAAACATATATTTTTAGGGCAGCGATTGTTTACAACTTGGGAAGAATCATTATTCATTTCTGTGAGACTCCAGGGGGCATAACAGTGAGATGAATGTGTGTATATATCTGTGTTTCTTGCATATTCATGTGTTTTGAGCTTTCATGTATCCTTCAGGGATTAACACTGCAAATTCCACCTCACACCTCATTACAAAAATGATTCGCTCCTTCGTTTCCTTCCGTTGTTTCAGCCTGTTATTTCCAGTCATCTCCTTTCCGCCTTTTTACATCAGCTCACTGCCGCTGGTTATTATTGGTCCACATTAACATCAATCAGTGCTTTCAGAGGGATGAGTCACCAAAACACACGCACACAAAAACACACAGAGCCTTTCACAAACACACAAACCTTTACTCTTACTTTCAGAACAGCACAAGAGCCCAAAAGCAGACACACTCATCCTGATAAATGTCATGTTGTTTTTCTCGTGATTGCCATAGTTGCGCCCTATCTCAAAATAACAGGAATACAACAAAAGGGAAAGGAGACAAAGAGATAAACCTCAACAAGTCGTGCAGACTGCTCCTCCTCTGCCTGTTGTTGTGGCACTTCTCTTGTTGTCTTCTTTGTTACACTTCCCAATGACAGGAGACACAGTGACAGGAGAGTGTGTCCTGCTCACCACTTTTTCATTCACTCACCCTCTCATCCAGTCACTCCCTCTTGGTTGCTCTTTGAGTGGGACTTGGCAGACCATGGTGAGCTGAAGGATGCACACAGAGGGCCACACGCACACTAACACATCTTACAAACATGCATGACACACAGTACATAACACACCTACAGTACACATGCCACACACACTATATGAGTCATGTGGAAAGAGAGCGAGAGAAACGGCCTTCCGCTTTGTGAAGCACAGAGGATGCGGCCGCCGTCTCATCCTCCCTCCCATCTTTCTAGACATGTTTCTCTCTCTGTCAGTCCCTCTCCATGCAGCCATTTCTGTCCTCCCCTCCATTTAAAATCTTCTATTCTGCCCGGATTTCAATGCCACCTCTTCTCTGGAGCAGCCATCGCGGTCTCATCTCTCTGCTACATTTGAAGATGTGCTGTGAAAGATGTGCTCTTTCCACATTTTCCTTCTTCTTTCACCCCCCCACCATTTAATCGCAAAACACACCCTCTTCCTTCCATTTTGGCTTCTCCTTCTTCCCTCCTTGTGCCCCTTCCTCCTCCCTCCCTCCCTCCCTCCCTCACCCTTGCCTATATTCTTGCTGTGTATCTTATGTAACTGGGGAAGGATCCAGCTCCTGCCAGCTCTGCTGCATGGCTGCTGTTTCTCAGGCATCATCTTCCTCAGTGCCAAGCAGCCTGCTGGCACCCAGAGGTCCATCTTAGTTTGATACTCCTCTGCAAGTAGCGGGGTTACATGCACTCGTGCTGCACGTGTCACATACTGGGATAATGCCTATGTGTGCTGGCTCAATTTGCATGTAAATATAACATTCTGCTAGGTTGCATGTATTATGCATCTGTGTGTGAAGCCACCCCATTCTCACACAAGGCAGAATGTGACAAGTATGCAGCATGCGTTCCTGTTACACACACAACAGGAATACAGGCGTGTGAGTGTGTGCAGCACTGCAGTCCTTCAAATCTGCTCCAGGCTGGATAGGTAGGGATGGGGGGGATGGGGGGGGGGTTTAGTGAGCCATCCTGTACAATTACCTCCTATAATTATCAGACATAGCACACAAGCAGATGCTTTCTAATTACCATGGTGATAATTGGGAGGATTATTGCATTCTGACGACTTGCTTCAATTCACGTTTTTCTTCTACTCTTGTTTAATTCAGACTACAGATGAAGAGAGTGTGTGTGCTTAGTCGGCAGGAGTGTGTAAGAGTGTGGCTGGGAACACAGCTGTTGAGGTGAGCAGGTCATTTCCAGGACCTGTGCTGGCATCTGCTTGCTAGTGACGCCATTAGAGACTCTGCATCCTCTTCTCTCACACTGACAGACCTTTCCGAGAGCACATACATTTTACATCTTACATCAGCGGCTGGGATTACATAAGGCCTCAGATATCAGTCAGGTTAAATGAACCCAGGCCGTCTGGATGTTTTGACTCACTGTATGAGATTTACTTATAAAAAGACATGCCTGTTTTATATCTGAGATCCTTGATGTAACTTATGCTTGTCTTTCTTCTTCACTGTTTCACATCTCTTGGACCAGATGGTTAGCAGGCAAATCTCTCCCTTGCTACCTTTAATGCGTGTTTCTGACGTCACCAAGTTAGCATGTAAAACGTATCCTCTAGCTAGGATGCTCATCCATAACAGATAGGCTTTCTGTTGCTCCCTTGAGTACACTGATAGGACACATGTTTTTTGTAATCGCTGAACTTGTGACTTTCCAGAAATGGCCTTCGCTAGGAGCTTCACATTGAGTGGGATCTTTCGAAATGTCAAAATAAAGTCCAAATACATCCAACGTTGGAATATTGAGAAAGATATATGGTTCAAGTTTGCGTAAATAAACTGACCTGACATCACAGCTTCAGAGCAATGCAAGGTTCCTGTGTATAAATACTTGATAACACACAAGCAGCAACTTTGATATGTTATTCTAGAACAAATAAAGGACTGCATTTAGCTTAACACCGGAGACTCATCCGATGTAATTCTACACATTAAATGCATTAACCATGTATGACATCGCATTATCTGATCCGACTTTGTTTCCTCCCCACATCTGTCATCCTCCAGAGAAACATCACCAATCCCAGATAAAAGGCAGAAAAAAAGGGTATGCAGAAGAAGAAGGAGGGGGGGGGCGAAACTGTAGACGTCAAAGTATGACGTATGAGTGTAATAAAATATTGAAAAGGAGTTAGGGAGGAGAAGTTTTAGGAATAAAAATACTTTTGGATGACAGCAGGGCTAAGAGAAAGGCATGTTGAATAGCGAGACTGAAGAAGGGGTATTCCATTGACTGCACTGGCCCCTTGGGTATCCGCATGAAGAAACTGGCAATGGAAGTATTTCCCCCAGCCTCTTCAGACACTCCCGGCCATCCTAATTAGGGCTCATTACCATGTGACTGGGCCCACAGCAAGACCATATGCAAATTGACTTATCAATTAACAGCGGCAGCGCCTTACACCCCTCCCTCTGCCCCCTTTTCTGCTTCCTACATCAACAACCAATGGTTTGATGTGAAGGCATCCCATACCTAAAAAGGCCCCCTGAAAAAGAGCCACAAACCCACAGCATCATGTGTTCTGCTTTTATGTGACGGTAATAGGCATGTTCTATTTGAGTTAAAGTGATGGGGTGAATTAGGGGGGTTGATCACAGGAGCCCAGAGAGATCCGAGTTGGTTAGAGAGCGAGATAGTAATCAGAGGAGCAGGAGAAACAAGGAACAGGCGGATGTGCAAAGGGTGAATTGGAGCAAGCCTTGTGCCTGGAGCGCGCGCGCGTGTGTGAGTATGTGCGTGCGTGCGTATCTCTGTGTTTGTGTGTGTGTGTGTGTGGAGGAGGGGTGAATGCATGAACACAAATGCTCATATGAAAGGAGAAGCAGAGAGGTTTCCATGTATGAAAATCCAGCTCATACACTCAGTTGTGTCCTGGGAAGAGGCTACACACACACACACACACACACACACACACACACACACACACACACACACACACACACACACACACACACACACACACACACACACACACACACACACACAACCCTCCAAACAAGGTACATATGGCGTCAGCCCCGAGGAGATACTGTGGCATCCTCTTTTCCCATGAGGACGCTAACTAACTTATGTAAGCTGAGCCTGAAAATAAAAAGCTCCACTCCACTGAATATTGATTAATGATGGTAAACAGAACGCTCCAAAATAGGCCTGGGAGCTTTCAGAGTATACAAATACTGAAACACTGACAGTGCTCCAGGCTCATGTATCATCTATCTATTGACCAACAGAGTCAATCCATGCATTGACTTCAATTTCCAAACAAACTTCCTTAGTCTAATTGGACTCAAGTGGCCATTTAAGTGCAATTTCTTCCCAGTTAGACAACAAGCTGTTTGTTTATGAGGCCATTGTGGGAGGGACACGTCTATAAAGAGGACACCCTTGGTTTTAGCTGACCTAAGGAACAGCCCAATGCAAACACACATTTTGAGAATGCTCTTTTTTCTTTTCTCATCTTTCAGCACACCCCCCTCTCTTAACAATACTGGCCCCATGTGAGGGTCACTGGGGGTTCCAGAAGAGTGTGTTTGTTTGAGGGAGCCTCAGTAAGACCATTGTTACTGAGGTGTGTGGGATCCAAATATAAAGAATGACATCTAACCTCTAAAATAAAGAATGCACAAGTGATTGACACTCCCAAATATCCCAATTCATTGTGGTGTGACAATGGAGGCACAGCTCTCAAAATAGACTAACGTTTTTATCCTCGTGAGAAAGATGAACCACAGCCAGCCAGGCCTTAAACATCACACAGGTCAAAGTCATCCATGTCTTTAGTAAAGCTTAACATGGCTTTGCCCTTTGAGGTCAGCACCATATGTTCCATGCCCTTTATGTAAATGTACATTTCTGCAGCATGCCCTTTGCGTGAATTTACATTTATGTCTACAATACTGCGTGTCCTTTCCTGTACACCTATGCATTTGGTGCATCGACATCGCCTTTCTCCCCAGGCAGTGATGCAACTTCGACCTCAGTGGTAATAAGCCCCGAAACAGGCTTATTGCAACACACACCGGCATTCAAATACACCGAGATCCCCCGTGGGTTCAGACAAAATAACCCTGAATATATCACGCACACGCATCTCCACAAGGATATCACTCGCACACCCCCCATTCTCATTAGTCAATGTCCTATGGTGAACAGCACGTACCTTAATCGATGTAAACAAATCCGATCGGGAACGTAGGCAGATGCACGGTTGTCAGGTTTGATGGGAGACTGGGAGGGTAAAAATGTCACATTTCGGAATGAGCTCCGCTCGCTGTGTTTGCGTATTCTCTCTCCATCCACATGGACTCGTTCGCGGTCAGCCCAGATGATTCCTCCTGCTTCAGCTTTAAAAGCAGATCAACCCCACTATTTAGCCCGTGTCTGTTGTTCTCAGAGGCAGAAATGGGCATAGACGAAAAACAAACTGGTGTCAGGATTAAACTGTCACCGAGATTTTTGATCGTTTTCCCCTAAATCCTTTGTTCAGCGGTGCGCATCTTGATCATTGACTCTGCACCAACAGAGCATTCATCAAAAAAAGAAATAAAACACAAAATGAGTCGAAATCCTGTGATTTGCAGAGACGGTGGCCCCGAACCGGCTGGATCCCCTTCCCCTGCTACTGTGGGGAATCTGCCGCTGAATGTCCGGATTGACGCTCACTGCTCCCCGACGCACGTCCCCCGACTGAATGCATCACCAAAACTGCGCTCAGCATCACGCGCGTACTGGTAATCCCTCTCCACACACACACATGCACACACACACAGATAAAGTGACAGCTCTCCGCAGCCGGCAAGGACTGCTCTGTGTCCTCTCTCCTTTTAACTGTTATATTTCCCGATAAATAATTGGCGCCTGACAGGGGGACCACCTTAATAAATGCTTTCTAAACGCACAGTAGACAGCGTTCCCATACACACACACACACACACACACACACACACACCTCCAAAATCCATGGAGTAAATGTCACTATCACAGGCCATACACAAAGTTTACATGCTACTCCTGTTTAACTCCAGTCTACGTCTCTACGATACTGTTTTTTCCCTCGTTCACTGTGTTAACATAGAAAATAAACCAGGCTGTGTCAAGGTAAACTATCGAAACTCCATTTCCGGTTGTGTCTTTCAGAATAAAATGATTTCAATAAGTTCACAGCCTGTTATTTTTAAATAATCAAACCAGTTTATTTTGAATATATTATACTAAAAGAATCTCATTTATGTAGTACTTTACAGCAAGAAACGAACCCATGATAAAAGTAACATATCATCGCATAGGAACACTTTAAAGGTCCCATGACATGGCCATTTCTACTGATCATAATTCCATTGTTAAGGTCAACTAGAATAGATTTACATTGTTCAATGTTCCAAAATCACATTGGTATCTCATACAGCATCTCTGTATAGTATGTGTATTCACTCTGTCCTAAACGGCTTATTGGAGCTCCCGCCTCCCCCCCATCCTATGAGCCCACTGTGCTCTGATTGGTCGGCTCGCCCACTCTGTTCTGATGAGTCCAGCACCACAGCAGAACATCAGTGATTATGTGTTACAATGGCGTTAGCAACCAGAAAATGACACCAGTAATGACAAACAGATGAGAATGCTGCGTGGGTCTGGGTGCCATGTTGGCGGCAATGGCGGGACGTTGTGGGCAGGGGCGTTTCCTGGACCTGGAAACATTCAGGGCTTAGTCCACAGTTCATTAAGGTACATTAAGGTACATTAAGGTACCGGGCGCTACAGTGGAATGTTCTACTGCAACACACACACACACACACACACACACACACACACACACACACACACACACACACACACACACACACACACACACACACACACACACACACACACACACACACACACACACACACACACACCAGTACACCTGCGACTGTTACAATGGAGGCTCGATAATCAGCTCACGGCATATAGGTGTAAGCAGGGGTAAAGTGCTATTTTCTATAAGTGGGGGGCGGACCTAACCTCCTCTAGGGGGGTCTGGGGGCATGTGCCCCCGGGAAGATTTATTTTTTTATTTTTAAGTTAAAAGCATCAATCTGGTGCACTTTGAGAGCAAAATTAAGAGATATGGATACATCTTTCAACACCCATATGAAACAGAACTGTAAACAGATTTACTTTTTCTTTATGGATATTTTACAAATCACTCCCCTGTGACTGTGTAATGTAAGGTAGCTTCTAGCTTCATGTCGAACACTGACAGTAAGTCAACATTTTCCAGAGAGCTTTCTTTGAAATCACCAGGTAACGCTAAAAAACACAACATTTAGATTGTATGACAAAGTGTTAATTGAATATCTCTGGCTAGCTACAGTATAGCTACTTGCTAACGGTTTAGCTTACCCGCACGATTCAAAGTAACGTCAATAACGTAGCTGTAATTTATGCTTTGCTTACATGTTCGCATAACTTGAAAGTTTACTGACATTTACAGCTTGTTTACCTGGCGCAAGTGGTGGCTCTGGGGTTGTTGTGTGAGCCACCACTTGAGAATTGCCGTCTTTTTTAAGAAAAAATGTTCTTATGTCCATCTTCAAAAACTCAGAGTCCGACTGACAGTTTAAACATTGTCACAGGATAGGTACCGCTGTCAGCCAATAAGACACGTTTATTTCCATGCAACTCTCTGGTGATTGGTCTGGTGTCTTGCCTCTGTTGCATTCACTGAACACGGGAAATTACACTCCTGCCGTCCTCTCTAGTGTCATGATGAGGTTCAGGTAAAGCACGGTTAATGTATTATATTATTGCCCCGGATGCCCAGGACAGGCGACGCGCCTGGTTGCGGGGCTCCCTGCTGCGCCCTTTGAGGCTCGCGGAGCGGACAGTGTGAGCTGGCTTACTGGTGTCATTTCCTGGTTGCTGCATGGGGTCTGCGAGACAGCGAGACAGCGCGAAACTCAGCCTGAACTCATCCTGAGCACACACAAACACTCACAGCCGAAGTAAAAACAATAAGTGTGGCTTGATATTGAGTAAGAAAAAGGTTGATAAACGCTGTGAGAATGGGTCTGCGGAGAGCATTTCTCCGCGATCCCAACTCGTCTATTACCAACGTTCACTGCATTTGATAGTGACGCCAAGGGATCCTGGTGTGTGAGGAGCTCCACGGATTGGTCCATTTGGACCAATGGGTCCATTTGGGTATGGTCACGTCACTGTACCCAGCAAGATCTCCAACGAGGCGTTCTGGGGCAGCATAGACAGGTATTTTCTGTGTTAGAGTTTTACTCAGGGTGTACTTTGAGGGTTTGTGACTTTGCAGACCGTTTACATGCATAAAAAGCTACATAACAAGGGGACGGGTAATAACCGGAAAAGCATGACATGGGACCTTTAAGAGACGGTTTTCAACAGACCCTATTTTTAAATTGCAGAACTAATTCTTAAAATTATGTTTATGGAAAGAATGTTTTCAAAACAGGAAGGTAACAAAAAGAACAGGCAAAGAACTGTATTTAGCATTTGAATTCAATACTATTTAAATGTGCCTCTCATTTACAGACACACTGATGACAGTCTAACCATGTGTTACTTACTCAACAGAAGTCAGTAGGAGCCAGGGATTGAGCCACATACCCAATCAAAGGAGGGCCTATGCCTACTGCTGAGCTGCAGGAGGAACAGGCTTATAGGATGAGGTTTTCACAACGACCCGTATTGTTTTCCTATTTGGGCAACAATCTGTTTAAGTCTACTCACAAATCCATTACCCCTTTTCATTTTATTAAACAACACTCTTATTTTGAAAGTAACTGAGCCCCTTTTTCGGGTTCACTCTGGTTATCCCTGACTGATTGACACAGCCACAAACTGCTGTGGTGCTTATTATCTCTCCCTCTAGTCACATGCTTGTCGCCTCAGCTGCTCCAATCCATCTCCCAGGGAGGCTTTCAATGGTGAAACCCCCACTACCCCAACCCCCAACCGGGCTTCCATATTGCCTTCATGGTAATGCCTGATGTGAGCCAGTGAAAGTAATCTGTAGCATAGTTTTCAATAGGTTTTAGGTCCATAAATGCAACCAATTTAGTGTTGGAAAAGGATGGCAGCCATGACACCTCTGACCAGGTGGCTATAATGATGCTAGTCAAAAATATTATCAGACAATGTAGATGCAACCCCCCCCCCCCCCTTGTCCATTCTGATTTCATTTTGTGTGATTGCAAATAATCCAGTGATTATTGGTACTTTACTGTGTACATTTTAATTGTGAGAAGCTACATGCTGCTGTAATGTTTGGGGGACGCTGGAAACCAAAAACTGAAATCCTCACTCTCATTAGGGTTGCCCCCTCTTTGCCCCCTTATTGCCTCTTTTTCCCCCACTTTCCCTTTCACACACATAAATACATGCAAAGTGAGATGACATGCTGGCTCTGGGCAGTAAGGAGGCGTATCATATGGAGTGGCAGCTGAGGATGTGAGACTAATCTGACAGGTGCAGGCTGAGAGAGTGACAGCATGGGAAGAGGAGGAGGGGTCTCTATACTCCACACAGGACCATTTAAGAGATTAACGGCTCTCATTTATGAGCAGACAGGCTCAGGAAATACATCATCAATACCATCAATTTTCATATCATCTGTGTTATCAGCAGTGAGAGATCGTTACACAATCACACAAGTAATCCCAGTAAAGAGATTAGGAAGAACACCTTGTGAGTAGAGGTAAAAATTGTTACTGAATTTGAAGAAAGTGGAGCTTTTCTGACTTTAAAACAATTCAAGATTTTGGGGAATGAGCTTTTTTCTTTCTTGCCGGTAAGATAAGTAGATTGATACCGTCCTCATTTCTGTTGAGGAAATATTTAGCTGGAGCCAGAAATCAGTTAGCTTAGCAAATAGACTGTAAGGAGAGGGAAACAGCTAGTTTGCTCAGTCCAAAGGTTCACAAAATAAGCCTACCACCAAGTCTAAATGCCACTTATTAAAATGGTATACCCCTGTTGATTAATCCTTATAAAAAACATCAATTTGCATATATTGGCAGGGCACAGTAACTTGTGGTCTCTATCGGGTTGCCTGGCAGCCAGCTGAAACTCAAGATTTTACATAATTCAGTAGAAATCTGTAAATTAAACAAACCAGATGTAACATGTATTATTGAGCGCTGGAGGTGCAGGGTGGCCGTTTCCAGTCTTCATGCTAAATTAAGCTGCTCTACCGCACAAATGTGAGATTGGTGTCAATCTTCTCATCTAACTAACAGAAAAAGCATATTTCCCAAATTGTCAAACTATTCCATGCACATACAGTATATAACACAATCCTACTACTATTGATTTTGTTCTCAGTAGAGTTCAAATCTAATAATAATGACACTAGATCAGAACTTTGTTGAAGTTTGATTACCAACACTGAACTGGGAAAATGTTACTTACTTAAACGATTATTTCCTGGGCCCCTTTTAGCTTTACTTGTTATATAATTGATGATTTCTGTGATTGTAATTAACGTGACTGTGTGTGATCAACTGTCGTGTGGTTATGTGTCGTTAGTTTTATCTCTCTTGAAAAAGAGATCTTTGTCTCAATAAGACTTCCTTAAGCATAACATTAGTGTCACAACCTTAACAGTTATTCAGCCTGCAAGCTGAAACATGCGGAAACATGTGATGTGTGCTGAAACATGTCTTTGTTTTTTTAATTCAGTATTTCCATTTCAATATTACTTTGGTAAATATTATCCATGTCTATCAAGCTCTGTGGTGGAGCAGAACACTTGTAACAGATCGCTTCACTGCACGTTTCCTGTCATGTCTATGTTGATATCATCAGATAAATGCAGCAAGAGGAGAACTCCTGCTTCAGTATTTATAGAGCGTGACAAGTCACCTTTGTATCAGTTTGATGATCATGTGTGGGGCTTGGTCTCTGACTAACATAGCTTTAAAGACAGGCAGCAGACTAACTTTGGCTCTGCCTGGTGAGTAATTGTCTTTTAATGAGTAGAGCACATTCTCTTAAGGTG